CCTCCAATTCCCCACCAAAAATTCAGATGTGGAGGTGTGGCTCAAGTGATAGAACACAGCCTTGAGTGAAAAGCTACAGGGTAGTGCCCAGGACCTGAATTCATGCCCCAATACTAGAAAGCACGCACAAAAGCGCGTGCACACACACACACACGCACGCACACACACACACACACACACAAAATGACACAACGTTAGGCTAACCAGCGTGGGGCTTGCACACCTGCAATCTCAACACTCAGGATATTTAACCAAGTAGATCTTCCTTTTGAGACCAGATGGGCTAGAGAGCAAGAACTTTCCCAAAAAAGCAAAAACAAACAAACAAACAAAACACAAGAACAAGTCTGCTTATATCCTCTCTCTGTCATGCACTGGGTCTTTGCATAGACACTAGTCTCCAGCACCTGAAACAGATTTGTGGACCATAGTAAGTGATCTTGGTTCCTTTATTGAATTAATCTCAACTGAATATGGGCTGAAACCTAGGAGAGAAGCTAGAAGGAAAATGGATTTCAGAACTCCAGGGCCTCAGAATCCAGGGAGTAATTTACCTGGAGGAGAATACATATCCCTAGTCTTGGTATTTTCATAGGGCCATTTCCCTTCAGTGGTCATGCCACCTAGCAGGGCCCATCCTAGGTAGGCCTGCAGAAGTTTGTGTGGACACACAAGGAGACACACTCCTCTTTGTTCTCCTTCAGCCTAACTGTCTTCAGGACTTACTTCTAACCTGAAGATCCACTTCAGAGACTATACACACTTTGTTTTGCTCACCCGGTATGGTTAAAAAAAAAATCAGAACCTAGATTGAACAATAGGAAGTATTCATAAAAACATCTGGATTTCTGGCTCTTCTTAGAATCTGGACACTGGACAAGTTGAGCCTGCATTCCTATGGGAGCGGTAGCTGGGGCTCACAGGTACTTTGTCCTTTGGATGAGGTCATGTCCTCCAACTCCCATGTAGCCTGTTTCCTGCCTGGTCCCCTTAGGGAATGGACCTAACAATTCTGCAATTAGAACAGGGCCACCAAGCCAGGTACCAGTGGCTCGTGCTTATTATCCTACCAACTCAGGAGGCAGAGATCTAAGAAATGCAGTTAAAAGCCAGCGTGAGCAGGAAAATGTAACTCTTTTATCCCTAATTAACCAGCATAAGCAGGAAATGGAGCTATGCCTCCAATAATAAAGCCCTAGCCTTAAGCAAAAATGTTAAAGGAAGTACCCAGGCCCTGAGTTCAAGCTTTAGTATCAGGAATCCTAATTCAGCCTGGGACCTCAGCATTTTCTGGCACCCCATGAACTCCTTACCATCCTCCACCCTGGACCCCACAAGCTCAACAGCCTTACCTGCCCACTCCAGCATGTCTTCTATGTTCTCTGCCGCCCCAGGCACCAGACGGGTCTGATCTGTGTCCTCCAGCCTCAGAATGAAGCTGCCCTGGTACTTCTTGGCAAAGATGTAATTGTAGAGAGCAGTACGGAGACCGCCCAAGTGTAAGAACCCTGGTGGAAGAGAATGGCTCAGCCCTAACAGAAAAAGGCCTCAGCAAGGGGCAAACAGCTTTGTCCAGGACAGAATGTCCTAAGCAATTTCAAACAGCTGGCCACTGGATGGACAGCGTTTGGAGCCTCATCCTGGAACTAGACAACCACCAGGTTTACAAGCTGTGTGAAATGTAAGCACCTGTGGCTCATGATTGTAATCCTATGTACTCAAGAGGCTGTGATCTGAGGATCTCAGTTTAAAAGACAGCCCAGGAAAGGAAAGTTCATGAGACTTTTACCTCCATTTAGGGCCCAAAAGCCAGAAGTGGAGCTGTGGCTCAAGTAGGAGAATGCTAGCCTTGAGCAAAAAGCTCAGGGGCAGCCCCAGAATGGAGATACACACATAAAACGTACCAACTCTCCCAAACCAACTGCCACTATTTTTGTATTTGTGTCAAGGCCAAGTTCCAGCTAAAGGACAAGCAACAGAAAATTATTCATTGAAGCCATATAGCTTGCACACAAATTTAACAATGTGCTCCACTAAAAAATATGCCAATTACAGGAAAACAACACATTTTAAATACTGTAAAAGCACAGTACGCATTGTACTCTATCATTACCATACAATTTGAATTGGTGTCTACTTGAAATTTTTGTGTATCTACCAGGGCTGGTGCTGACTGAACTCAGGGCCCAAGCTTGGTTCTCTCTCTTTTTGTTTTTTGGTTGGTCGTGGGGCTTGAACTCTGGGCTTGGGTGCTGTCCTCGTGCTCTTCAGCTCAAGGCGAGAGCTCTACCGCTTGAGCCATAGCACCACTTCCGGTTTTCTAGGGGTTTATTGGCGATAAGAGTCTCACGAACTTTCCTGCCCGGGCTGGCTTTGAACTGAGATCCTCAGATCTCAGCCTCCTGAGTAGCTAGGATTACAGGCATGAGCCACCGGCGCCTGGCTTTGTTCTTTTTGTTTGTTTGCATTTTTTTTTCTGGTCATGGGGCCTGAACTCTGGGCCTGGACGCTGTCCTTCAGCTCTTCAGCTCAAGGCGAGCGCTCTACCCCTTGAGCCACAATGCCACTTAGGCTTTTTCTGCTTATGTGTGTTGAGGAATCGAACCCAGGGCCTCATGCATGTGAGGCAGCACTCTACCACTGACCCACTTCCCAGCCCCCTCCCCCCAAGCTTGTTTTTTTTTTTTTTTACCCAAGGCTGATACTCTACTACTTAAGCTACAACGTCCACTTCCGGCTTTTTGTCTGTTAATTGATGATAAAAGTTTCACGGACTTTCCGGCCTGGGCTGGCTGTTCACTACAATCCTCATATCTCAGCCTCCTGAGTAGCTAGGACCTTCTGAGTAACTATGATTATTATAGGCATGAGCCACTGGTGCCCCACATTACTTAACTTACATGAGCTTCAATTTCCTGATCTGCGAGAATGATTAAAAAACAAACAAACACAAAAGTAAGCCAGGCACCAGTGGCTCGTGCCTGTAATCCCAACTACTCAGGAGGCTGAGATCTAAGGATCACAGTTCAAAGCCAGCCCACGCAGGAAAGTCTGTGAGACTCTTCAATTAACCAGAAAACCGGAAGTGGCACTGTGGCTCAAGCAGTAGAGCACTCGCCTTGAGCTGAAGAGCTCAGGGACAATGTCCAGACCAAGTTCAAGCCCTGCCACTGACCAAAACAAAAAAAAAAAAAAAAGATTTTTTTATCTGTGTGCAATCAACACCCTTTTCTAGCAAATCAGCAAAAAAGTGAGAAGTTGAATCTTATTGTTTATTAAATGCATTCTACAGGTATAGATCTTGCTAAGTGGTTCAGCTGAACTGGCTCAAACCCAAGAAGCAGGTACTATTATTAGCCTTGTTTTGACAGATGGCAAAACTGAGACTCAAGAGAGGTGAAGTAATTTGACCAAATTATATATCAAGGATTTGGCAATGACTGAAATTTGGATCCAAAAAATTGCAGGCCTTGGCCCACTATGGGAGTGTTTTGCAAAGCAAGGCATTCAGTACCGTGCTGGTGTGCAAACTTGCCAATTCACAACAGGTAAACATAGAAACAGAGTGAGCTTTAGCAACTAGCAACTTTGAGTAATAAAAAGAAATGAGCTTATATTTGGTATGTTTCCGAACGCGGAGCTGTGGCTCAAGTGGTAGAGTGCTGGCCTTGAGCAAAAAAGCCAAGTGACATCCTCCAGACCCTGAGTTCAAGCCCAGTATTGGCACAAAGAGATGAAAAGAAATCAGCTGGTCAATGGGCAGAGGCTGCCTGGGTGGGACTCATGTGGTCAGGGATAGAGGGGCTGACAAGGTCTCTAGGAGAATATATACTGGTTCTCCATTTTCCTTTGGCTTACTAAACTAAGAATCTAACCACAAGGCCTTTGTACTTAACAATTCCCACTGCCCAGGTTCCTCCCACAGGCTTCCCATGAGTAATCTTTTTATTTTCAATCTGGGTCTTAGCTCAAATGTTCTTTCAGCAAGGCCTTGTAGAGCACCCTACATAATCCCTAATCTACTCTGCTTCATGTATCTGTAAAATAACTTCCATAAAGTTAAAAAACAAGTCTTTAGAAGCCGGGCGCCGGTGGCTCACGCCTGTAATCCTAGCTACTCAGGAGGCTGAGATGAGAATCATGGTTCAAAGCCAGCCCAGGCAGGAAAGGCTATGGAATATGGGACTCTAATCTCCAATTAAGTCCCAGAAAACCGGAAGTCGCTTAAAGTAGTAGAGCATTGGGGGGGGGGGGGGGGAAGCTCAGGACAGAGCCCAGGCCGAGTTCAAGCCCCATGACCCACGACAAAACACAACATCTTTTTGGGTGGTGCTGGGACTTAAATTCGATGCAAGCGCTCTACGACTAGAGCCGCATCTCGGTGCTTTCTTTCTAGATGTCAATGGTGGTGAAGGCTTCTCAAGAGCAGGGGCCTCGACTTTTTCGATGACCCCGTCTCCCAGAACCCAGTCAATACCTGACAGTTCCTACTCCACAATGCACGGTTACTGAACGCGTGAGAACTAGAGCCTGGAAACATGGTGGTACGGTCCTACACAAAAGAACCTTCTGGCAAGGCGGGCCTCAACCTGCGCTTCTGTGAATGGGGTCCGCGCGGCGCTCGCAGACTGACAGCACCGGAAGCCATTCGGGGAGGGCCTTGGGAGGGCGGGGACCGGACGGTGGGCCGCGCGGGGCCGGCCGCGTCACGTCCGCCAAGGTTACCTGTGGGGCTGGGTGCGAACCGCACTCGTACCGCGACCCCGGCATCGATGCCCAGGCTCGCTTCCCGCCGTCCCACGCCGCGGCTCGAAGCCGCTAGGGCTGCCTTGGGCCCCAGCAGCTTCTTCAGGAGCGCCGCCATGTGGAGCCGGACCGCACACGTGAGGCTTCTTCGCTGCGACACTTCCGGGAAGCTCCTTCCAGCCAATCCGCTTTCGCCACAGCGCGTTCAGCCCCGCCCCTTAAAGTCGCAGGTGTCTGAGCGGGAAAAAAAAAAGCTCACGCCCCCTCTGGAAGGCTGCGGCCGCGCCGCGCCGCGGAGAGGCAAAGGCCGGCGGGCGGAGCGACTGCCCCGGGCCCGCCCCGCCCCTCGACACCGGGAAAAGCTCAAGCGTGGCAGGGCCGGGGCGAGCGAAGGGGGCGGATCTCCATAGAAACATCCACCTGTTTCCGGCCCAGACTCGGCGAGATTAGGGGCTGCTGCGGGGGCCAATCTCAGCCAGCTCGCTTCTTCCCAGCGGCCTCTGCGGGCGCGGTGGGTGTTGTACACAATCATCATGGCGGCGGCCGGGGCCCCGGATGGTGAGTGCGGAGGGGGAGGCGGGCGCCCGGCTGGCACGGAGGCTGCGGGAGCTGCCGAGGTTTGCGGGGAGGGAGGGGGAGGCCGGCGGGGAGGGGGGGGGACGCGGCCCGGCCTCGGGGGGGGGGGCGGGGAGGGGGGGGCGGAGCGCGGCGCGGGAGCCCGAGCGGCGGCGGCGGCGGCGGTGCGGCGGCGGTGCGGCGGCGGCGGCGGCGGCGGCGCCGGGGCAGAGTCGCGTCTCAGGCCCAGCCCGCGGCGAGCGCCCACCCCGTAACCCCGTTGCAGGCGTGGAGGAGCCCGGCATGGACACGGAGGCCGAGAGCGTGGCCGCCGAGGCGTCCGCGCGGCCCCTCAGCTGCGTGGAGGCCGAGGCCGCGGCGGGGGCGGCGGCGGCGGCCGCCGAGGACTCGTGCGAGGCGCGAGGCCGTCTGCAGCCCGCCCCGGCCCAGCCCCCCGGGGACCCTGCGGCGCAGGCCTCGGTCAGCAACGGCGAGGACGCGGGCGGCGGCGCGGGTAGGGAGCTGGTGGACCTCAAGATCATCTGGAACAAGACCAAGCACGACGTGAAGGTCCCCTTGGACAGCACCGGCTCCGAGCTGAAGCAGAAGATCCACTCGATCACAGGTAACCCGGGCGCTGACAGCCCGCCTGCCGCCCCCACTCCCCCCTGCCGCCTGGCTCCCGGGGCTGGGCTGGCCTTCCACGCGCGCTCCTCCCCTCCCGCAGCCCCCCTTGCAGTTCTCCGAAGGCCACTGTGGAAGGGCTGTGATCAGCCACGTTGGGGGTGTGTGTGTACTGCACCCGAGATGATAGAGATGAGCAGAGCCGAGATTGAAGCCCAAGTGTCTCGTCTCTTTTTTTTCTTCTAGGACTGTTCAGACACAGCTACCCAAAATCACCTGAAACACTTGTTCAGTTTTAGGTTGTTTTTTTTTTTGGCAGCAGCTCTGGGCTCTTCTGGAGACTCTGGTTTCCCTGGGTCTGGGATGGTGCCAAAAGAATTCATTTGTAGTGAGATATATCTTAGGTAACTTTTTTAAGGGAAGTTTAGCAAACACTTCTGCTGGCTATATATCATCCTGGCCCTTTGCAAGTTAACTCATGTTTGTCCGTCTTATTGATACTACTTTGCCATTAGAATTGATTTGTGTGTGCATGTGTGCTGGTACTGAGGCTTGACTCGGCCTGGGCACCGTCACTTAGGTTTTTCAAAGCTCATGTCTGGTGCCATTCTACTTGAGTCACACCTCCAGTTCCAGGTTTTTGCTGGTTAACTGAAGCTGGTCTTACAGTGTTTTCTGCCTGGGCTGTCTTTTGAACTATGATCCACACATCTCAGCCTCCGGAGTAGCTAGGATTATAGGCATGAACCACCAGTGCCCGGTGGAAATGATTTTTTTTTTCCCCTAAACCCTTCTCCAAGTAGCCCATAAGGTCTGGAAGAATAGTAACCTGATTGGCTTCTCTGTCCCTGACACCTATGAATTGTCACTTAAGAGTTGGGCAATTAGAAGGTTGAGGAACAACTTGGAAAGAATGATAGGGAAAATTGATCCCTTACAGAGTGCCAGGCACTAGTGCTTTACATTTGACATGTCTTATAGTCCTTAAAGCAAAGCAGGAGAGCCTACTCTCATCACTATGTAAAGTTCTAGATTGTGACTGAGTTGATGGGAACTGCCAAAGTTCACAAAGCCAATAGATGCTGTAACCAGCATTTACTTCCTATTCTTTTTCTTTTTTTTTTCTTCTTTTTTTGGGGGTAAGGGGGTGGGCAGTCCTGGGGCTTGAACTTGGGTCCTGGGCACTGTCTCTGAGCTTCTTTTGCTCAAGGCTAGCACTCTACCATTTGAGCCACAGCGCCACTTCTGGCTTTTTCTGTTTATGTGGTGCTGAGGAGTGGAACTCAGGGAGGGCTTCATGCTAGGCAAGCACTCTATTACTAAGCCACATTCCCAGCCCCTTACTTGTATTCTTTTACTCATGGGTGGTGGTCCATGCATCTGGTCCACATATTGCCTGTCACTGTGTTCTACCTTTTCCCAAGGTCTCCCGCCTGCCATGCAGAAGGTCATGTATAAGGGACTTGTCCCTGAAGATAAGACATTGAGAGAAATAAAAGTGACCAGTGGAGCCAAGATCATGGTGGTTGGCTCCACCATAAATGATGTTTTAGCAGTGAACACACCCAAAGATGCTGCTCAGCAGGATGCAAAGGCCGAAGAGAACAAGAAGGAGCCTCTCTGCAGGCAGAAAGTGAGTCCACCCTGTGCTTGTTGGTCCTGAGCAATTTGAGGCTTTGTCCTCTCTAGCCTTGGCTGCTTACATTCTCCCTAGAATAAGCTCCTCTTTGGACAGGGTCCATGATGGAAATTTATGGCAGCAGTTGGGTGCGGCAGAGTGGAGGTGACAACTACCTGAGATTTGCAACTTTGTCTCATCTGGCGGGTCAGTGTGTCTCAAGTCTACCTACTTTAGGATAAGGCCTTTGGAAAGGGAAGCTTCAGACCAGAGAATAGAGTCAGACCCGGGTTTCTCTGTCCTGTTGCGTGCCAGAGGAAAAATGCCTGAGTTCAAATTCAGCCCCATGTTGTCCAAGTGTTCACATTTGTGGGGTTTTGTTTTTTGTTTTTCTTTTTTTGCTTCCCCCGAGTCATTAGGCTTAGTCTTGGTAGGCATGGAAATCACATTTCAGAGGTTTCTCTAAAAGTGACTATTTCAGGAAACCAAATGGAGCTGTAAGAAGATAAGAACACTGGGTTTCATTTTGTCTTTTTGTCCTGATACCTGACATGGGGGCCTGGTTTTCACTTTTATCTTGGTTGCTCATTTTGAATAGTAAGGTTCTAGCTCCAAGTTGTGCATACTGTAGCCTAAAACAATAATGATTTTACTGTAGAAGAAACAGATTGGAAGAGCCCTTCCTTGTGACTGTATTCCCCAATGAGCGCCACTTGTTACTGAATCGCATCCAGGAAGGAAAACAAGTGTTTTGCCTTTTGTTGTTGCTTTTGTTTTGCTGGGGCTGGGGTCAGAACTCAAGGCTTTGCGTCTGCTAAGCCTGTCACTAAGCTACACCCCCAGCAAAAATAATTGACCCTGTATCTTCAGTGGAGATTACTTTGAGCCAATATTAGTTTTAGTGGTAATAGGCTCTAAAGCATATGACCAGCAACAGGACAGAAGACCCATAATCCATTCTGTGTGCTCCCAAGTCCCAAAGGGATATGAATACCACAAGTGTTTTTGCAACCTGGCAGCAAAGCCTGAGCAGAATTCCTAAGAAATAGCCATATTTTTCTATAGAAGTATTAAATGTGTACGGGGACAAATTGCTGTTCCAGATACCATAAAGGGTATTATGTAATGTAACTTAAAACCATGTTGTTTTTACAAAAATCTCTGAAATGTTATAGTCTAGAACATCTTCCCATGATTTTTTTTAAATTTTTTAATTTTTTTTTTGGTGGCAGCATTAGGACTTGAACTCAGGACCTTGCCTTATGCTTGGCTTTTTTGCTTAAGGCTGCCACTCTAACACTTGAGCCACACCTCCACTTCTGGCATTTTGTTTCATTTGGGCTTTGGTGCTGGGGCTTGGACTCAGGGCCTCAGGCCAAGCATGTGGTCTACACCCGAATACCCTAGTCCCCGTCTACAGAGTTTAGGTAAGAGTTGGATAGGTAAGACTGTTAGGTTACAAACCTACATTAACATCTAAAAGGTGTATATTTGGGCAGATTTAATCTCCAAAGATGGAGACCTAGTTTCTAGTCATCTCCTGAGTTTTTTTCTGTCTTCCTGTCTTCTTCGAGTTTGAGGTAGATGTCCATGTTCTCAAGGCCACGCCCTTGAGCAGAACTTGCCTCTTAAATACAGGTTTGAGTTACTAATGGTAGCCTAACAGGCTTGGAACTAGTCTCCACTGTGCAGGGGAGAGCCTTCAAAAGGTTCTTGTAAAGACGCAAGGCTGACTCAAGTGATGCTTGCAGCCTGTGCTGCTATTGTGTCAATGATGCCACTTTATAAGGCGCTGCCTGGCTTGATTGAGAGGATCCAGCCCCTCCCCTCCCACTGGCAAGTTAGAGATGTGGAGGGTGACCACGTGCTTGCTTGTACTCTGACAGTGGTTGAGTTCATTTCTGCTGGTGAAGGTGTGAGCTGGCTCATGGCCTCCCGGTGCTTAAGTTTGACCAAATTCCTTGGCCTGTAGTTCAGCTTTACCAAGCTTGCATTAGCAGTAAAGCCACAGGTGGAGAGACAAGAGTTGGCCATTTAGGGGGCTGTGTACTTGAAACTCTTAGTGAGCTGCCTCTCAGTCCTAGAGTTGGGATGGGTGAGGGCTGGAGGCTGCTTCGTGGCAGGAAACACAGGGGTCAGCAATTGAGTTTGGAAATGTGCTCCTCACATTTTCTACATAGCTGGGATTGAGGATGGAGCCATCACTATGGTAGACTGGAACTCCTTTTTTTGTTTTTTTAGTCATGAGGCTTGAACTAAGGGCCTGGGCACTGTTTCTGAGCTCTTTTGCTCAAGGCTAGCATTCTGCCACTTAAAGCCACAGCTCCACTTTCAGTTTTCTGGTGATTTATTGGAGAGAAGAGACTCAAAGACTTTCCTGCCTGGGCTGGCTTTGAACCATGATTCTCAGATCTCAGCCTCCTGAGTAGCTAAGGTGACAGGTGTGAAGTGCCAGCACATGGCTTGGAATTCTGTTTTTGAAGAAATACCCTTAGGGTTTTCAGCTGGTAGATAGTACCTTGTAGTTTTCTTTGGAGTTGAAGAGGACAGCAAGTGCTGCCACTCTCGTCCTGCCACGAGAGTGCCACGTTTGTGGCCATCCTTAGCTCAGTGCTTCATCCTTTCAGCAATGACTATTTGGTGAGAAGGGAGTAGAGGGATTGAACCGCAGCCTGGACACCTTGCTTGCTCTATAAGGTCAGCTGATGAGTAGTACAGTGCCTGAAGTTAAGAGTGGGTCCTGTCTCCTCAAAGATGTAAATTGCAATTGCTTAGTACTCCTCAGAGTTAGTGCCTAGCCCAGGTAGAGACTGCTTCATCGGCTTGCGGGACATCTGTGCTCTGTAGCATCCAGAAGGTTACCCAGAGTCTGTAGAAATCAAGAGGTTTCAAATCTAAATGTTAAGGTTTTCTTCCTCCCATGTGTCAGAGAGATAGCCACACGATTCCAGTGTGGGCAGCTGTCTCATTTAACCTCGTCTTCTGACTTCCGTTCTAGCAACACAGGAAAGTGTTGGATAAAGGAAAACCCGAGGATGTGATGCCTTCTGTGAAGGGTGCCCAGGTAAGCTAGACATTCAGTGACCGTCTGTAATCCAGACAGCCCACCTCTTGAGATTACTGTGATCGAATCCTATCCCTGCCTCTCTTACCATGTTCTTGTCCCTCCAGGAGCGCCTGCCAACAGTGCCCTTGTCTGGCATGTACAATAAGTCTGGAGGAAAAGTGAGACTCACCTTTAAGCTAGAACAAGACCAGCTGTGGATCGGCACTAAAGGTATGTGTTGCTCCCGGCCTCCTCCTGGCTTGCTCAGCTGCCAGTGCCTCTTAGCTCTCGTGCCTGAGTGCTGTCTGCTCCTCCTCTGGAAACTGGTCCTCACTGCATTCTCTGCATTTCTGGCTTTTGCTTTGCCTTTCAACACTTGCCTCTCTCTCCCCTGCCCCAGTCCTGGGGCTTGAACTCAGGGCCTGGGCAGTGTCCCTGATTCTTTGGATACTCAAGGCTAGTACTCTTATCACTTGAGCCACAGTACACTTCTAGCTTTTTCTAAGTGGTTTATTGGAGATAAAGAGTCTCACAGACAAGCCCAGGCTGGCTTTGAACGGTAATCCTCAAGATCTCAGCTTCCCAGAGTAGCTAAGGTTACAAGTGTGAGCCACCAGCACCCAGCTAACACTTGTCTCTTGCTTGGCCTTCTTCCCTCTGATCTCAGAGACAGGCCATCAGACACTGACTCTTTTTGCAACCCAAAGCCAGAGGTCCTGAGTACTTGGCCTGGCCAGGTGTGCTCCCTATACAAATGTTTATGGGTATACACACAATTTATAAAAATTGGGAAGTTCACTTTATGCGATGGTAGGGCACATGCTTTGAAAAGAAGAATCAAAAGTTCTGATCATTTGGGGCCTGCATTCTTACATGGAACCAAGGACTGTAGCTAAGGAGTATTTTTCCTAATACTAGGGCTTGTGAACTCAAGGCCTGGGCACTGACCCTGAGCTTTTTGCTCAAAGCTAGCACTCTACCACTTGAGCGACAGTGCCTCTTCCGGCTTTTTCTGTTTATGTGGTACTCAGGAATCAAACCCAGGGCTTCATGCATGCTAAGCAAGCACTCTTACCATTGAGCCACATTCCTGGTCCCTCTTTTTTTTTTTTTTTGGCCAGTTGTGGGGCTGGAGCTCAGGACTTGGGTGCTGTCCCTGAGCTGCTTTTACTCAAGGCTAGTGCTCTACCACTTTAAGCCACAGCTCCACTTCCAGTTTTCTGGTGGTTCACTGGAGATTAAGAGTCTCAAAGACTTTTTTTGTCTAAGCTGGCTTTGAGCTGTGATCCTCAGATCTCAGCCTCCTGAGCAGCTAGGATTACAGGCATGAGCACTGCCTTCATTATGCTGACCCTGTCTGGTTACCTTCTGGCCTCTGCTCCCTCCTCCCTCCTCTGCACAAGATCTGGGTCAACAGGAGTTTTCTGGGCAATATCTCAGACCCTCCTGCCTTTCTAGAACATCCTGCTGGTTCTTTGTTTGTTTTTTTGGGTCCAGTCGTGGGGCCTGAACTCTGGGCCTGGGTGCTGTCCCTCAGCTCTTCAGCTCAAGGCTAGCACTCTACCACTTGAGCCACAGCGCCACTTCTGGTTTTTTTTTTCTGTTTATGTGGTGCTGAGGAATCAAACCCAGGGCCTCATGCATGCAAGACAAGCGCTCTACCACTGAGCCACCTTCCCAGCCCCTCCTGCTGGTTCTTGAAATGAACAAGCCAAAATGCCAGAGGTGCTTGAACTTTCTTAACAAATTTTCTAACTTGTGATTTTTTTCTAATTTCACTTTTCAATACTTCCCTGCCTGAGCGGAGCAAGCTGAACAAATTTGGAAGGGGTCTCTCCTGTCATTCTGATCCCCTCACCGGACCATTCCCAGAGGCTGGCCATCGTGCCCTGGGTCAGAGTCAGCTGCCCAGCCTCCCTGGTCTAGTCCGCTCATTTGCCCCTCATCAGACTTCTTTGCCTTTGCCTGCAGGTAACCCAGTGAAAGGCATTGGCCAAGGGAGAGCTGAGCAGACATCGGTAGGGTAGGTGCAGGCAGGGTTTTGGTGGGCCCTGAGGCTCCAGGTGCTTGTTGAAGCCTCGAATACTTTAGTTATGACACACCCCAGAACCAGGGACTGGGCTAAGGAGGACTGCCGAGGTCTCTGCGCTGGAGCTTTTATTTCAGCAGCCTCTGTCCTTCAGGCTTTGAGCCATTGAGCAGCCTCATCCTTACCAGCTTTATTGGGGGGTGCTGGTCCTGGGGCTTGAACTCAGGACTTAGGACACTGTCCCTAAGCTTTTGTGCTCAAGGTTAGCACTCTACCACTTGGCTCATAATTCCACGTCTGGGGTTTTTTTGGCAGTTAATTGTAGACAAGAGTCTCACAGACTTTCCTGTCCTGGCTGGACTACAACTGCAGTCCTCTAGTCTCAGCCTCCTGAGTAGCTAGGATCACAGGTGTGAACCACTGGCACCCAGCTCACCAGCCTTATTGAGGGAGTCCTTGTGCCTTCCAGAGTTGAGTAAGGCTGAGCTCTTCATTCCTCTGCAGACCCCTTTGCCAGTGTCCATCGGGCCACATGCTCCTCCCCTGTGCCTGGGAATCTGGCCCCGGTATCAGGAGCAGCACAGCCTGTTCCTCAAGCTGGCTGATAACCTCTGGCTTTGTCTTCCATTGGCAAGAAGTGGCTGGCTGTCCTGGCATCTGTGGGGTGCTCTGCTGGGTGAGGAACCTCAAGGCCACCCCTCCCCTTTGCTGCCTGGTGTAGGAGGCCTTGGGCCTAGCCCAAGCAACAGCAGGCAGCTGCCCTGTCTGGAGGGGAGTCAGTCCATCCTTTATCTTGCTCATTGGCATCAGGAACATAGACCTACTGTTGTCCAATCTTCGGAGTACCAAGGGAAGATTAAAAATCCCTGTTTTCCTGCGAGGTCTCCATACATTTCAGGATGAAACGTGCTTTCTTTAATTTAATTTTATTGTGAAGGTGATGTACAGAGGGGTTACAGTTATGTCAGGTAATGAGTACATTTATTTTTTATTTTTATTTTTTTATTACTATTTTTTTTTGGGTCCGGTCGTGGGGCCTGAACTCTGGGCCTGGGCGCTGTCCCTCAGCTCTTCAGCTCAAGCCTAGCGCTCTGCCACTTGAGCCATAGCACTACTCCCGGCTTTTTTCTTTTTGCTTATGTGGTGCTGAGGAATCGAACCCAGGGCCTCAGGCATGCAAGGCAAGTGCTCTACCACTGAGCCACCTTCCCAGTCCCACATTTCTTTTTTAAATGTCACCCCTCCCTCATTTTTTTCTGGTTTTTTCCCCTCCCTGCTCTGCTCCATTCCAAGTTGTTGAAATGTGCTTTTCATACTGTCAGTCTTGTTCTGGGTATGAGGACTCCATTCTCATTCCCCATTTCAGAGGCCACAAGACCATGGTCAAAGCATGTTTGTTCCTGTTTGGCAACTGTTTTCATACCCTACCAGCTTGTCCAGGTTTTTCTTCTTGCAAGGGCTTCAGTGTGTCTTCCACCCTGATTGAAGTGTTTGCTGAGCCTGTGTGCCGGTACCCCGGTATCTGCAGGTGTCCCTTTTCATCTCCCACTGGTCCTGTGGTTAGCCTGTACCCTGCAGCTTCCTTTCTCTCCCTCTCACTTTCTCCACATGCCCCTCCCTGCCTGTCTTAGCTGCCATTCTTAAACGTGCTGCACAATGACATGTACCTCACATGACTGAGGCCACAGGGACCCCCTGCTCCTTCATTCTCTCCCTGTCCCAGTGCCTGCACCTCAACCAGCGCTGGGTGTGGACTGTTTTGTGGGTGTTTATTAGTTTCCAGGCTGACTCTTCCCAAGAAAGGCCTGTCTGTTCTCTTGAGACCTGTACCATCGCCACATCCCCTTCATTGGCTCCCCAGAAGGTCTTAGGGGACACCAATGAGAAGTTTTAGACTTGCTGCCCCTTCTGCAGATGCCTGTAGTTCTGGCAGCCTGTTGAGGGAGGGGTGCTGTGGTAGGAACTGGGACAAGTGGACCATGAAGGACTTGCCAAGCCAGGCACTGGTGGCCCACACCTGTCATCCTAGCTCAGCTCAGGAGGAAGCTGAGATCTAAGAATCCAGGTTCAAAGCCAGCCTAGGCAGGAAAGTCCATGAGATTCCTTTTTTTTTTTTTTTAAGGTCCGGTCGTGGGGCCTGAACTCTGGGCCTGGGCGCTGTCCCTCAGTTCTTCAGCTCAAGGCTAGCACTCTACCACTTGAGCCACAGTGCCACTTCTGGCTTTTTTCTTTTTGCTTATGTGGTGCTGAGGAGTCGAACTCAGGGCCTCAGGCAAGCGCTCTACCACTGAGCCACTTCCCAGCCCAGTCCATGAGATTCTTATCTCCAATGAACTACCAGAAAATTTGAAGTGGACCTCTGGCTCAAAGTAGTAAAGTGCCAGGCTTGAGCAAAAGCAGCTCAAGGACAGTATTCAGGCCCAGAATTCAAGCCCCACGACCGACCGACAAGATAAATAATAACTGCTGTCATCCCTCTTGTCTAGAGCGCACTGAGAAGTTGCCCATGGGCTCCATTAAGAACGTGGTGAGTGAACCCATCGAAGGGCACGAGGACTACCACATGATGGTGAGTGCGTCTGCACTGCAGGCTCCGTGTTCCCCTCACCCTGCCTGGCCACGTGCCTTCTGTCATTTTCAGAAACATCCGTACCTCTGTTTTGATTTGTAATACTTTGTTTTTAGACCAGGACAATAAATACCCAGAGGAGGAAAGGCTTGTGGGGTTTTTGTTTGGCTTATAAAAAGAGTGTCCCTCCAGCCTTGGGGTTATGAGGGTCCCAAGCAGCCTCCCTGCAGGAGCCTTACTTTGGCTGGAGACGCTGCAGGGGGCAGGGTGTGAGGTCAAGCCCTGTGGCACTCAGAACAGCTTGTCTGGAGGTCCTTCACAGGGGTCAGCAAACCAAGGGATCTGTGACACACCCCTACAACAGCTTGGGCTAAAGCTCCCTTTCCCACTCCTATTCAGAAAGACAATTTAATAAACGAAGTCCAAAGGTACTGCCCTAGATATCTGACTGGACACACCATCTGCCATTCTCTTCCAGGGAAGCAGGACTTCCAGGAACAGCAGCAGCTAGTGATTTGCCCTGGGGGGGGTAAAGAGAAGTGTGGGGAGACCCACTCACTGTAGGGCAAAGTCAGCGTAAGGGCTGGGCACAGATGGTAGCTCACACCTGTAATCCTAGCTACTCAGGAATCTGAGATCTGAGGATCGTGGTTCAAGGCCAGCCCTGGCAGGAAAGGCCTTGAGACTTTTTTTTTTTAGGGTCCGGTCGTGGGGCCTGAACTCTGGGCCTGGGCGCTGTCCCTCAGCTCTTCAGCTCAAGCCTTGAGACTTCTTGTCCAGTTAACCACTTAAAAACGGAAGATATGAGCTGTGGCTCAAAGTGGTAGGACATTAGCTTTGAGCACAAAAGCTCAGGGACAGTGCCTGGGCCCTGAGTTCAAGCCCATGACTGATAATAAAAGTCAATGGAAAAGCTGCATGGAAGGGGCAAGCTCCTGGGATTGCTTCAGACAGCTCTGGGAACCTTCGTCTGTAAGACAAGATTGCAGACGGGCTTATTGAGCTTGCTCTCTTGTTTCTCTGTTGAACAGATGGATTTTCGTGTGCTTAGCTGGGCCTTTTGCTCTGTTTTGACACATTGGTGGGAACAGTGTGACCCTGTGGGGGCTATACCCAGTTTGGGGGCAGTGTGATGGTAGGACACAGAGTGGAAGGACTCAGGATGTGGTTAATGGCCTAGTGTTTCCGTGAAGTGCTTTTTTTCCTCTCTGCAGTCACTCCTGGCCAGAGCTGGTTCCCACGGCCCCCCCCTTTCTAAATGCTTAGGTGGCGCTCAGGTGTCCAATGGTGTAATGCCAGTATGCATTCCCCTCTCTCTGTAGCTAGATTCAGCTGTCACCCTGCACAGTTAGTGTGCTTGTGCTCTTGCGTTTTAGATAGGTTTAAAAAATATAGAAAAAGGTCAGGCACTTGTGACTCATGTCTGTAATCCTAGCAACTCAGGAGGCTGAGATCTGAGGATCATGATTCAAAGACTGCCCAGGCAAAAAAGTCCATGAGACTTTTTTTTTTCTTTTAGCCAATCCTGGGGCTTGAACTCAGGGCCTGGGCTCTGTCTCTGAGCTTAGCTCAGAACTAGTGCTCTACCACTTGAGCCACAGCCCCACTTGTGGTCTTTTCTGTGTATGTGGTACTGAGGAATTGAACCCAGGGCTTCATACCTGCTAGGCAAACACTCTACTACCAAGCCATAATCCCAGCCCTCCATGAGACTCTTATCTCCAGTAACTCACCAGAAAACCAGAAGTGGTGCTGCTGTGGCTCAAAAGAGGTAGAGTACTAGCTTTGAGTGAAAAGCTCAGAGACAGTGCCCAGGCCCTGAGTTCAAGCCCCATGAGTGACAAAGTACAGGACAGAATACCAAAAGTCCAATACCTACTAGGATAAAAGATAATTCTAACCGGTTTTAAGTCTTTTGTTTTAAATAAAACATTTACTGGCAGACTGTTTCCCCCTCTCCCTCCCCCCCATTGTTATCCCCCTCTGTGGCCCCTGTTATGACCATCCGTCTGCTTGTCTGGGCCTGTGTCTGTGAGCAAGACAGAGTATTGTTTTTACACTTTTCCTAAGTGGTATCATGATGTGTACCATTCTGCAACTTATTCATCATTGCTATCTGTCCCAACAACTCTAGATCGGTAGGATCGGGTTTATTCCTTTGGAAAACACCTCAGTGTTGGTGTGAACCAGCCAGGCGCCCTTAATGCTAGAGGTGCAGGCCCTTGGCACCATTATGTTGCTGTTTCTCCTGTGTGGATGCAGGGAGCTAGCGAGTTTGCTCCTGGATCAGGCTGCTTTCACAAGCCTTCCAGAAGGTTCTGATGGGTATTGACATTGACTGCTACTGTCTTAGGGTTGTCTGTGTTGAACTTGTCACTTTTTTTTTTTCTTTTGAAATATTAGGAGAACATTCCCCATGTGCTTTGTGACCTTCTGTCTTTCATCCCTTTAATTAACTCACTTCCCTCCCTGCGTTCATTGTGCTGACTGCTTGGTGGTCCACCTCTGAGGTTGGGCTTGCTTTTCCTTGTCTCCCTTCCAGGCATTTCAATTGGGCCCCACGGAAGCCTCTTACTACTGGGTGTACTGGGTTCCAACTCAATATGTGGATGCAATCAAGGACACTGTGCTGGGAAAATGGCAGTATTTTTGAAAGCACTTTCACCTCTGGCCCAGGAGACTGACCCAAAGTGAAGGACATTGCCGGGAGAGGCCTGCAGCACCCCTGGATTTCCGAGTTCTGGAACTTTGTTCACAAAACTCATCTGTTCAATCTGAGGCGATGTGCTGACTGAAGCCAGAGGTGATGTACTTTCACCATAGCTTAATTTTAACTTAAAATCACCGGTTCCTTTTCTTGCAGTCAGCTTCAGAGCATTTTTAAAGTCCATATGGTGGAAATCAATAAATCTGAATTCCGAACATGTGGTGTGGAACACTTTTAAGTCTGTGTGAGAGTAGATCTGCCATTGTTGCTGAGAAGGGAATGATAAAAAGCTTTTCTGGTTTCATTGTTGTTGGTTTTTGGTGTTTTTTTTTTTTTTTTTTTAGTTTTTAAAGTGATTTCAAATGAAATATTTTCACAAACCTTGGTTTTGAAAACATTTGGACTGCTTTTTGATGAGTTGGGGTGTATTTTGTTTTTGTCTTTTTTCTTAGTATAAAATTGTATGTAAAATGGGGGGGGGGAGTGTTAGTAAGCCATACTTTGCTGTCCATTCTGATTTTTTTTTTTTATTTCAATTCAATTGCCTAGATTTGAGATTTCGTTAACCCAAAGATGTCTGTTCCTCTTTCGGTACCTCATCCACACTTCCTTTCTGAGCTCCCCCCACCATGCTGCTGCCTGGGGGTGCTTGAGGGAGAGGACTTGGGGGGCCTGGGTCAGGAGCTCTCACCTTGCTGTAGTGGTAGTGAGCTATGCTGTCTCCATGTCTTGCCCTTTGGGCTTCCAGGGGGTGCCCAGCCTGGCGCCAGCAGGCATGGACCGGGCTGCTCCAGCTCAAGGCAGCGCCCCATGGAAGGAAGTTCCTAGGGCCAGGTTAGGTTTGCAGACCTTTATTTGGAAGTGCCCCCCAGAAACCTGCAAGCAGTCCAGTGATGATTTCAGTTAGACTTCTCCATTCCGTCCTTCAGCTCATGCGTTAAGTTCAAGTGCCCTTTATCCCAGCCTCCAAGGCTGCCTTTCCCACTAAGTCATGTGACCCCAGTGCGTGGGCCCCGTGGTGTTGGAACCTGGAAGTGGGATAATTTAATTGCCCTCTCATGATCAGCTCACCCTCTTCCAGTTTCAGTCCTTTCTTTGTACACGTGCACTTGTATTGTCTCCTGATGGCTTGACTGAAAGGCGGGGTGTCTTTTGGGTGATCCCCTTTGTGCCGTGCTGTTTCTCTGCTGCTGTCTTTGCAATTCTCCTCTCACTGGTCTCAGCCTCCCACTTGAGCCTGTCCCTTCATTCTGTGAACTGTATTTGCATGTGTTCACCTAAGATGACTTTCCCTTATGAGCCAGCTGTGACGCTCTTCTAGTCCTTTCCCTACCCTTCTAAGCTGTAGTTCAGGAATCCTGCCCACTTGCTTTTCGTGGTGTACTCAATGCCAAGTTTTGTCTCTGGCAAGGGAAATCTACTCTCTGCTGTTTTGGGGATGTAACTACGTATGTGAAGCTCAATGTCCAGGAGACAACCTGGTTTTCATCCTTTGCTGGAGCTTTTGTGTGTGGCCTGGCCTGATGCCGGATTGTGTGTCTCATTCTTACATCTGCATCCTCTCCGGGCTACATGCCCGCCCCAGAGGTGACTGGGCAGCAGGCAGCGCATCATCTTGCTTTGCCCTTTTCATTTGTCCTCAAGACTTGTGTGGCGGTGCAATGATCCCATTGTTTTGGTCTCATCAGGGGCATCTTTATGCCCAGATTGGCTCTGAGACCCCTCCTTCCAAGTGTCTGCCTGCCTGCCTTCATCTCCTTGCTGCCCAAGGGCCTGACCGCTTCTCACTCAGGCTGGTGCCAATATCAAGAGGACCAAAGCCTGTGTGAGCCTTTTTCTTTTCAGTAAAAATGGTGCTTTTATTCCTTACTTGGAGATTCTCTATATAAATAAAAGTATACACAACGGCTTTTTTTTGTTTTGTTTTCTTGTACGGAGCTGTTTTTCAGTGTTGCTTTGCAGAGCTTGTGGGTCGTGAGTTGACATTGGATTGTCAGCTCAGAAGGCCTTGGGAAAGCTCCCAGAGGGCATGGGCAGCCCTTGGAAGCTGGTGTCACTCTTGTCACTGTCGCAGTATTCACTGATGGTCACTCCCTCCCATGGGCAGTGTGTTTCCTCCTCTGGACTAGCCTGTCCCATTTGTGAGCAGACACAAGTGCTCATCTTGAGCTGTATCAGTGTTCGTGTCCTTTAGGGTTCCATGCCTGGCGGTGAGCTGTCCTTCCTGGAGGCTGACCGCCTTCCCTACCACCTTGAATTGGTACTGGTGCTCTCCCGCCCTCCTTCCCTCCCAAACATCACCCTTCTGGGGCCACCATGCCTGACTCTTGTGAGCCAACCAGAGCACTTAGATTCTAGAGTGACTCCAGCTCTGGGGTGAAGTATTGTAGTGAGCTTTCTGTGGGTAGCATCTATTCTTTTTGAATTGGCCAGGGTGGCCCAGGGAGGCCCTTAGTAGCCACTTCTCTTAGGAGGGCTGGAAGGATGAACTGCCACATTGCCATGTCACCGAAGCACCACAGTTCACCCAGAAGGGACTTGTTTTCTTCTTTAACCACGTGCCTGAAGGAGCACTCGGGGACTCCTTGCAAGAGGCCTGCCCTCTCCCTACCAGGGGCTGAGAAGAGGGGGTGATTGCACGTGCCAAGGGCAGGCTTGTTTCCCACCATTTGCTGGGGGTGCCTCTTGCTCCTTGGCCTCTGTAAAATATCTGTTGGCTTAGAAGAGGATGGTCCCTTTGTCTTGTCACCTCCCATTAGGCAGGCGCGGCCTGTGTCGTCTTCTCCTCCTCCTCCTCATGCTGCTCCTTGGGCCTGGTTGCCTTGCTGAGGTGCCAGGGGTGAATGAGGAGCTCCTGGTACATGGACCTGCCAGGCTTGGTGGTTCTACTGCTATCTCAGTGTCTAGCAGCCTTCCTTATCTTTCTTAAAAGAGTTCTGCGGTTATTTGACAAAAATCTGTAAGTACCATGTTTCCTTGTGGTGTGTGCTCTGTTCTGGTTCGGTTTTAAATCAAATGCCTGTTCAGGAGGAGATGAACGTATTTAGTCTATTAGATTTACGCTGCTGGATTTTTTTTTTAAAGTGTATAACCTTGAGTAGCTGTCTTATTGTTTATCCTGTAAGATTAGTCTCTTGATTAAAGTTTGATAATTAATGTGTCTCCTTTCCAATTCTTCATGCGCCTACTCCATACTGAGGACTGACCATGGTTTGAACTGGGCTGAAAGCCATTCTTTGCCAGCTGTGGTCTTATTTCCTTGATTTTGAGTGTATCCAGGTTAACAGTTGGTAAAGATATTGATTTGGTTTGTTCTGGAGTAGTCACAGGCACCAATGAGCTGGTGAACCATTCTACTGGGGCAGCCTTCCTTGGTCTGCTTAGCTTCCATGCATGTTAGGGGGAGCTGCTCACCACCTGGGGGGTGTCCTGTGACCCCACTGACAATTTGGCTTTTGAGAACACGTTTAAAACACTTTGAGGCCTGGTGCTGGTAGTTTACTCGTATATTCATAGCTGCTCAGGACGGAGACCAGCCCAGGCAGAAAAGTTTTTAGGGCTCCCATCTCCAGCTAACTAGCAATGCCAAGACTAGAGAGGTGGCTCAAGTGGTTAGCGCACCAGCCATGAGCAAGAAGGCTGCATGAGGCCCTGAGTTCAAGCCTTGGTATTAGGAACAAACATAAAACCCAATATTGTGAACAACCTGGATGTGGTTGGTATATACTTGTAATCCTAGCTACTCCAGTGATGGAGTCAGAGTTCAAGACTAGTTTGGCAGTCACAAAATACAAACATGGCTCAAGTAGTAGAGCTCTTGACTAACACTTGGTTCAGACCTGAGTGTATTGTAAAAGATAAAATAACAAAAACAGAGCTGGAAGCTGTTGTGACTCACCCCTGTAATCCTTGCTACTAAGGAGGCTGAGATCTGAGGATCGTGGTTTGAAACCAGCCAAGAAAAGTCTGAGACTTTTTTTTTTTTTTTTTTGGTCCGGTCGTGGGGCCTGAACTCTGGGCCTGGGTGCTGTCCCTCAGCTCTTCAGCTCAAGGCTAGCCCTCTACCACTAGAGCTGCAGCACCACTTCCGGCTTTTTTCTTTTTTGCTTATGTGGTGCTGAGGAATCGAACCCAGGGCCTCAGGCATGCAAGGCTAGCACTCTACCACTGAGCCACCTTCCCAGCCCAAGTCTGAGACTCTTACCTCCTATTAACCAACAAAAAGCCAGAAGTGGGAAGGAAAGTTTTTTCCATAAAAAAGCCAGAATTGGAGCCTGGGGTTCAAGTGGTAGAGTGTTAGCCTTGAGCAGAAAAAGCTCAGAGACAGAACCCAGGCCTTGAGTTCAAGCCCCAGCCCTTGAGTTCAGGCACCAAAAAACACAGGTGAGCTAGGTGGGCATAGTAGTATAAACCTGTAGCTCCAACACTCAGAAGGCATAACAGCAGGAGGATCGTGAGTTCAGGGCAAGACTGACCCAAGGAACCCCGCCCCGTCCCCCCTTGGGAGTGACATGTGGGCTACTCTGGGCTTTGGGGGTCCTCTCACAAAGACTTGCTTTTGCTCCTTCTTGTAGGCCATTAGAAACAATATTGCTCTGATCCACACACTTCAGAATGCTGCATTTGGCCGGTTCACTGCTTACCTATAGTGGTAGTTTGTAATTTCTCACATTCCTGCAAGTTTTTAGAGCAGAAAGACCAGTGCTTCTGTTGGAACACCTAGACTCTACAATGGATTCTCTGTATGGCCATTCTTCCCTTGGGACTTGTGACAGTGACATGAATGGGCCACGTCACTATAGGTACCTGGTTGAGATCAGCCCACAAGGGTTTAAGCTCTACCTCATGCTGCAAAAGCTGGCACTTTCCTAAGGTAATAAAGGGGAGAGGGGGCACAACAGCCACCAAACACACTGTAGTGTAACAGCAGCTGTTTTGTGTGGAGTAAGGAATGTACACATCAATGTGCTAGAGTAACTAGTGACAGAGAAGCAGGCCCGAGGGGGGCCTCAAACTGGAGGCTTCTTGCCTCAGTGCTCTTCCCACTCTGCCACTGCCTGGAGGCTTGGCAGTTCAGTACTTGCACCTTGACTTATTACTATTTCTTGCCCCTCCCCCTTATAAACTAGAAATTCTAATGAGTAATTATGACATCACTAAATCTCACAACATCTAGGCAATACACACACATTATCTACATTGACTTCAAGAAACAGCAGTAATGAAAGGAGCAGTTGGGGGTGGTGTCCTAGCACCTGCCTTAGGAGGCTAAGGCAGGAGGCTAGAGTTCAAGGGCTACATAGAATGAATGCAGCAGAGCTGGAGCTCACCAACATACAAAAAGAAAAACAGTGCAAACTGACCACATCCCACTGTCTAAAACCTAAACTCTTATAATTTAGAAGAGGGCATTAGGTAATAGAAACTTAGTCCTACATGCTAGTATCAGCCCGAAATACCCTCTCTTTTAATTTATTTATTGTCAGTTTTTGTCGGTTGTGGGGCCTGAACTCTGTCCCCCAGCTCTTCAGCTGTAGACCAGCGCTCTACACTTGAGCCTTAGCCCCCACTTCTGGCTTTTTCTGCTTATGTGGTGTTGAGGAATTGAACCGAGGGCCTCACTCGGCAAGCACTCTACCACTGAGCCACCTTCCCAGCTTCTAGTCCTCTCTTTATGAAAACACATTTTAAAAATATAATTTTATTGTTACTATTAATGTGTTGTACAGAGGGGCTACCATTTCATAAGTCAGGTAACAAGTACATTTAACACATTTTTTTCAAGTACACTACTGAAAGACGCTTTTCCCCCCCCACAGTACAGGGGTTTGAACTCAGAACCTCCTGCTTGCTTTGCTGGAGCCATGCCTACATCCCTTCTTTTTGCTGGTTAATTGGAAGTGGTATTTCAAGAATTCTATGCTGACTGGCTTTGAGCCTCGGTCCTTCAAATTTCATCCTCTTGAGAATCATAGCTTCCCAGCATGTTTCCTTTCGAGACCTACCTCACTATATCTCAGGTTAACCTTGAATGAACTCTGACTCCTACCTCTGCCCTGCCCTAAATGTCACGTGTGGGTGTTTTGTTGTTTTTTTTTTTGTCATAGGGATTGAATTCAGGGCCTGGGCTCGGTCCCTAAGCTCTTTTACTCAGGCTGAGTGCTCTATCACTTTGAGCTACAGCTTCACTTCTGGTTTAGGTAGTTAATTGGAGATAAAGAATCTCACAAAAATTTTTCCTGCCTGGGCTGGCTTTGAATAGCAATCCTCAGATCTCAGACTCCTGAGTAGCTAGGATTACAGGGGTGAGTTACCAGCACCTAGCGCGCGCGCGCGCGCGCGCGTGTGTGTGTGTGTGTGTGTGTGAGGGAGGGTCCGTTGTGGGTCTTGAACTCTGGACCTGGGTGCTGTCTCAAGCTCTGCAGTTCAAGGCTAGTGCTCTACCACTTTAGCCACAGTGCCACTTCTGGTTTTCTAGTGGTTAATTGGAGATAAGAGTCTCATGGACATTTCTGCCCAGGCTGGCTCTGAACCACGATCATCATTAGATCTAAGCCTCCTGAGGAGCTAGGATTACAAGGCGTGAGCTGCCAGCAACTGACTTTCCCTGTATTTTTTTTGGGGAGGTCTGGTGGTGGGGCCTGAACTCTGGGCCTGGGTGCTGTCCCTCAGCTCTTCAGCTCAAGGCTAGCACTCTACCACTTGAGCCACAGTGCCACTTCCGGCTTTTTTCTTTTTGCTTATGTGGTGCTGAGGAATCGAACCCAGGGCCTCATGCATGCAAGGCAAGCGCTCTACCACTGAGCCACCTTCCCAGCCCCCCTGTATTTTTAATATACATGATTAGTGATTATAAATCAGATAAACCTTTAATATTAAGGTTTAATATTAAACCTTTAATATTAAGCAATGTCATATAAAGGCATTTCATTAGACATTATTAGAAAAAAATAAAGATTGAGAAGTGTTGGTTTCATAGATTTATTTTCAAAGGCAAAACACTTAGACAATTTAAATAGAAGTCCAACAGAGAGGCTGTGCCACCACTGCTGCTGAGGCGCCTTCTCCCCTCGACCCTCTCTGGTATCATCTGAGTCCTCTCTGCGAGGAAAGGGTTCTGGCAAGGGCAAAGTAAGATCATGTTCTTTCTGTGTGTATCACAAACACTGAGACCAAGCTAACATTGGCCACTTTCAGTGCACTGCTATATTCAGCGCTGCACAGACGCTACTCAAATGTTACCCCTAGTCGGGGCCTGTCCCTGCCCCCCGATGAAATGTCACCAGGCTGAGGACAGCCTGGAGGCTGTGACTGAGAAGCTGCTCTGTCCCCTCCCCTCCTCACAGCAGGTGGCTTGCCTTGTGGCGACTCGGGAAGGCCGCATTAGGAAGGGCTGGTAACCAAGGGAGTCCTGTCAGAGGAAGACTACTCACTCAAGAATGAAGACTATAGCCTGCTTGCACTGGCAGACTATGGCAGTGTCTGGGATTAAGGCATGGACACCATGCCCAGCTCTGCTTTCATTTTAAAACCAATGAACAATCTGTCAAGTATTTCCATCCCTTTCTTCTTGACTCTTTGCTTTGAAGAACTACAGACAAATTAATGTCCTAGGTGAGATTATTTACCTGGTGGTTTATTCATATACATCCTTCTTGTCTGCAATGTAATCTACAATTTCTTGTGGACACATCAACTTCTCTGCATCTGTATCAGGAATTTCAAATCCTAAAATGGAGAGGGTTGGCAACAATGTGTGGGTACAGAAACGAAAGCATCCCACACTTCCCCTAAACCCACAACTCTCAAAATTGCCCAGCCACCCTGAACTGCACTCTGGCTGTAAGCACAGCGCTTCTGAGTGGCACTTGACGCCAGGCTGGGCACACTGCTGGTTGTTTCACATACAGTGAGCAGAGCAAAAAATTCTCGTTTTTTTGTGCCGGTCCTGGGGCATGAATTTAAGGCCTAGGCACTGTCCTTGAGTTCAAGGCTAGTGCTCTACTACTTGGCCACAACTCCACTTCATGGCTATTTTTTAGATTTTTTTTTCCTTTTTGCCTATTGAAGATAGTCTCATGGACTTTATTGCCAAGGCTGGCTTCAAATCTTGATCCTCTGATCTCAACCTGAGTAGCTAGGATTACAGATGTGAGCCACTGATGCCAACTGAAAACTTTCTTAACCAAATCCTTAAGAACATTTTCATCAACCCTGAAACAACCTAGAACCTCTTAGCAGTCCCCTCAAGCGCCACCCCCACCCCATCCCTCCCGTCACGACTGCTTTTTGTGGACGTTTCCTATGAAGAGCTATGCCAGTGCTCCCTTTGCTCAGCACGCTCTTGTGGCTCATTGCATGTGTACCGGGATACCATGTGAACTGGACATCATGCCTTTCTCCAGGGGGGCCAGGCAGCCACTCCCCTCCTGCTGAGTGCTTGCCCAGACCCTGCCCAGTGTTTATACACAGCCTCTCCTCAGCATTCAGTCCTGAGCTCAGTGCTGCTGCCAGGTCAGTTCACAGCCAAGGAATGGGACTGGCCCTCAGAACCGTTAGGCAGTGACTGCAGAGTACAAGACCTGAGCCATGTCCTCTGCAAGGACACACTGGCACAAATGGGCAGTATGTGCAGGGCACGCAGAGGCACACTGGGACTGCTGCCAAGCGTGGCGTCACCACAGCTCAACTTCTGCCCCTTCCTTCTGGGACCCCTCAGTGCCATCCTGGGCCCTCTGCTGGCCAGGTCCCCAGCATGGACTTACCTCGGATGGTACGAGGTAAGAGACACTGTTTCTATTAATATTTGATTCTAATTCGGACTTCCAACATTTCTTTCCACTATTATACCTAAATGATAACCGTACTATGCATAGCACACGTTACCAAATTCATCTTCCATGGCCATGATAATCTCCACTTGGTCCAGACTGTCCAAGCCCAGGTCTTTCATGAAGTGGGAATTTACTGAGAGCTGCAAGAAAGGAAACCATAGGTAGGATGGCAGTCCATTCTAGCCAGGGAAAAACCCCAAGACTAGTTGAAAAATAACTAAATCAAAAAAAGACTACGGGTGTGGCTTAAGTGGTACAATGCCTGCCCTGCAAGCCTAGGATACAGAGTTCAAACCCCAGTACTGAAGGGGGGAAAAAAATTGGCACTCAAGAGGGGGTGAGATAGCCAGGCGCCGGTGGCTCAGGCCTGTAATCCTAGCTACTCAGGAGGCTGAGATCTGAGGATCACGGTTCAAAGCCAGCCCGGGCAGGAAAGCTGGTGAGACTCTTATCTCCAATAAACCACTAGAAAACCACAAGTGGTGTTGTGGCTCAAGCAGTAGAGTGCTCGCCTTGAGCTGAAGAGCGCAAGGACAGCGCCCAAGCCCAGAATTCAAGCCCCACGACGAACCAAAACAAAAAAGCAACAACAAAAAAAGAGGAGGTGAGCTTATGAGCTGGAAGCCAACCTAGCCTAGAGATCAAGGCTTGTCTCAAAAAAAGGGAGCAAGGTAGGGCTGGTGATAAAAGGCCCTGGTTTTTACCTCAGAGACTAAAAGAAAGAAAAAAAAATCCACCCATTTGAAAAAAGCAAGAAGGGACAGGAAAGTGTTCATGGTATATTATATCTGATGACTTGTGGATTGGGCTGGTGCTGGGGATTGAATCCAGGGTACGTGACCCCATCCAGCCCACTGGTATTTTTCAAAAGCAGATGTGTGCAGTGCATGCAGCCGGACCTAAGCACCCATCTGACTCATCCCAATGCCAGTACCCAACTCCTCTCATGAAGCCTGTGATTAGAGCTGGGGTAGGAATGGGGGTTGTCAACAGCACACTTACCTTTTCCGGGTCGATTTTGTCATACAGCTTCAAGACATACAGTACGCGGTCCCTGATGCCCTCTAGTGTCAGGGGTGGCAAGTCACTGTAGGAGCGGCCCCACCTCAGCACAGGCCCTGGCACCTACAAGAAGACAGGGGAAAGTCAGCGAACCTCTGTGCCACACATACGTAGACAAAGGTGGCTCACAGGTGGGCTCTCTCTAGTCCTGGGTGGCCTCAGAACCCCAGCAGTTCTCAGAAGGTTGGCCTGGGGCTATGGAAGTAGATCAGCAAAAAGGAGAGTCTGGTCTCTCTGCCCAAAGCCCGGCCTGGCCCTGGCTCCTCGCCTCTACTAGCATCCACAGGCTTCTCCTGCTTTGACTGGTCAAAATAACCCGCAGGGACTCACCATTGGCCTAGCAAGGCAGTTCCCACCCAGGGCCTAGCATTGGAAAGGTCACATTTGGCTCATGAAGTTAATTACAGGACCCTGTGATTAGCTCATAGAAAGTGGGTTTGCTTGTAGGGGCATAAGTCTTTAGGACTCTCACAACACTGAAAAATACTAATAAAAATGAAGCTGAGAGCTACTAGCTACTACTAGCTGCCTAGCTACTCAGGAGGAAGAGATCTGAGGATCTTATTTTGAAGCCAGCCCAAGCAGGAAAATCTGGGAGACTATCTCCAATTAACTGGAGATTACCTTCAATTAAGCACCAAAAAGACAGAAATGTAGTTGTAGCTCAAGTGATGGAGTGCTAGCCTTCAGCACAAAAGCTCTAGGACAGTGCCCAGATCCTGAGTTCAAGCCCCCGGACTGGCACAAAAAAGGAAAAGATAATGAAGCTAAGGACTATGGGTATGGTTCAAGTGGTGGCGTGCCAGCTGAGAGCAATGAGAGAACGTGGGGCACTGAGTTTATGCTATAGCACCAGGAGGGAAAAAATAAAGCCAAAGCAACATACACATTTGTAACGAGGAATGCTTATTTTGGTATAAAAGCCAGGCACTGAAATCACATCTAATCAGCAAATTAAGGCAAATAGCCTGGCATGACACAGTGCCAGCACTTGGGAGTCTGAGGTAGGAGGACACGAGGATGTAGTTTCCTTTTCCCTGAAAACAAGTTTAGTTGAAGCATTTCAGGTGTTATTCCAGAGTATTCCTGGGTACTTCTGAGGTAGCAGAGCCGTTTCCTTTTGTGTTCCCTTCCCCTGGGTAGAAGGTGTTTCCAAGTCACAGTTCAAATATTGCAGAAAGGACAAAGACAGGAGGGGGATGTGTGAAGTAAGAGATCTAACAGAGGCATGTGTGCATGAAGAATAAGATTAAAAATCACATGCCACAGGGGCTGAGAAGGTGGCTCAGTGGTTAAAGCGCTTGCCTTGCATGCCTGAGGCCCTGGGTTCGATTCCTCAGCACCACATAAGCAAAAAGAAAAATGCCGGAAGTGGCGCTGTGGCTCAAGTGGTAGAGCGCTAGCCTTGAGCTGAAGAGCTGAGGGACAGTGCCCAGGCCCAGAGTTCAGGCCCCATGACCGGACCCAAAAAAAAAAAAAAAAATCACATGCCATGAAGAGGGGAGGCTTCCAAGTGTACCTAGATGCAGGTGTCTGCAGTACCTACGCTAGCCACTAGGTGTCAGCACTGCGTTCAGCAGCTCTGGCCAGGTGAGTGGCAGGGCATGAGGCCCTAAGGTGTACCCAGCAAGAGGCTACACTCAGGAAGTAGGCTGTTGCTGCGGACACCCCCATACGGGCTCTCATGAGCTGCATGTCCTTGAGCAAGTTCATCTTGGGGTTGTGGAAGAATTTTTTTTTTTTTTTTTACCAGTCCTAGGGCTTGAACTCAGGGCCTGGGCTCTGTCCCTAAGCCTCTCTGTGCTCTACCACTTGAGCCACAGCACCACAGCATTTTCTGTTTATGTGATACTGAGGATACTGAGGCTTCATGCATGCCAGGCAAGCGCTCTACTACTAAGCCATATTCCCAGCTCATCCTGGGGCTCTTTTTTTTTTTTTTTGGGGGGGGGGGTCAGTTGTGGGGCATGAACTCTGGGCCTGGGCGCTGTCCCTCAGCTCTTCAGCTCAAGGCTAGTGCTCTGCCACTTGAGCCACAGCCACTTCTGGTTTTCTGGTGGTTAACTGGAGATAAGAGTCTCATGGACTTTCCTGCCCGAGCTGGCTTTAAACCTCCATCCTCAGATTTCAGCCTCCTGAGAAGCTAGAACTTCAGGCGTGAGGTGAAGTGTGCTGGCACCTGGCTTCCTGGGGCTTTTAACTCCAGGCCTGGATGCTGTCCCTGAGCTTTTTTATTTTTTATTTTTTTCCCGGTCGTGGGGCCTGAACTCTGGGCCTGGGCGCTGTCCCTCAGCTCTTCAGCTCAAAGCTAGCGCTCTACCACTTGAGCCACAGCACCACTTCCGGCTTTTTTCTTCTTATGTGGTGCTGAGGAATCGAACCCAGGGCCTCTGGCATGCAAGGCAAGCGCTCTACCACTGAGCCACCTTCCCAGCCCTGTCCCTGAGCTTTGTGCTCAAGGATAGTGCTCTACCACTTGAGCCAAAGTTCCACTTCGGGCCTTTTCTGTGATTAGAGATGAGAATCTCATGGATTTCCTGCCTGGGCTGGCTTCAAATCATGATCCTCATATCTCAGCCTCCTGAGTAGCTAGAATTACAGGTATGAGTCACCAGCGCCTGGCTTGTTGGAGGCTTTGAACAGACCAGGAACTATGTGAGCGTCAGGAGGGGACCTAGGAAGACCCCCTGGCAGGACCATGGTGTTAACAGTGTGACACCATCAGCCTACTCCTTCCTCTCTCACTTCTTTTCTTTTCTTGTGAAGCCATGTTGGGTGGAACACAGGGTCTTGGGGAAGTGCTCTACCACTGAGCTACATCCCAGGCATTTTTGGCATTTTGCTTTGAGACAGGGTATCAAACTCTGTCCTCTTGCCTCAGCCACCTGAGTGCTGAGATTGTGCACGTGTGCCCCCACACCTGGCTGTTTCTTTCTTATCTGTTTGTGGCAGTATTGGGTTTGAGCCTGCTAGGCAGGTGTTCTACCACTGCAGCCATGACCTTCAGCCCTTTCTGCTTTATTTGTGAACGGGGTCTCATGCTTTTGCCTGGGACAGCCTGGCCTCTGGTGTAGCTGCGATCACAGATGCACACGCCATGCTGAGCTTATTAACTGACATAGGGTCTTGCAAACTTTTTGTGTGGGCTGACCTTAAACCTTGACCCTCTTAATTACAGACATGAGCCACTAAATCCATCCCTATTAAAAAATTTTAAGGTACTAGGGATTGTACCAAGGGTTTCAAACATGTAATCTACCACTGAACAACAACCATTGTCCCAACCCCTTTCTGAATTTTGAGACAGTCTTGCCAAGTTACCCTGGTTAGACTTGAACTTGTGATCCTTCAGCTTCAGTCTTCCAAGTAACAGATTAGAGAAGTATGCTATCATACCCGGCTGTCTCTTAATTTCTTACCATTAATAAGCCCTAAGTTCATATCATCTCCTTCAGCTGTCCCAGTAACTCTGAGATGTGTGGTCCTATCACCTTTCTTTTACAGATAAAGAAACGGAAGCAGAAAATGGTCTCCAGGCTACTATGACCTCTTAGAAGATCTCACTGCCCCTTCTGCCATATGTCAGCTGTCAAGATAATGAATGACAAGCAAGCACCTCCTCAAGAGCCAACATATAACTGTATGTGACGAGAATTACCTGGCCAGGCCTCTGAGGAGGCGGTGTTAAAAGTGCCTCCTCGCCACTAGTGATTAGACTCTCCCAGAATCCACCCCACTCCACTGGGGAGCTTCTCTGCAAGGGAGAGCCAGAAGCAGCTACAGAGCAGCTCAGAAGGCTTTCCCTACCACCTGCCCCAACATCTCATACCCCATGCCCACACTCGTACCTCTCACTCAAGCTGCATGCATCGACTCCCTCTTCTGCTAGTCAGGAACCACAGGGCCAGCCCTTCCCCATCACACCCTCTCAGCCATGTCTACTCGCTCACCTCTCCCAGCTGACTGGGAGGACTGGTCTTAGTTATACCTTCAACAAGCCTTGCTCAATGCTCACTTCTTGTGATGCCGACAGAGCAACAGTTAACATAAGGCCTAACAGAACTCTCTCTTGATACCTCTGAAAGAACTTAGTCAAAACCATTAGGAAACTAAAATGATGGCTCTCTGCTGCAGATGTACTGGGCTCTTCAAAGCAGGGCCAAGGCCACCAGGGCAGGACCATCTGGGAGTGCATGGGAAATGATAGTTTTCTGGCTCCTTGCCAGACCTAGAGTCAGAATCTGCATTGGAACGGCAGGGAAGTGCACACACAGGGAAGCTTGCAAATCAATGCTGAAAGAACAGGGAAAATCACTTCACATCTTAACTGAATGTGAAAATCAGTCTCAAGACTCAAGCAGAGCCAGACGCTGGTGGCTCACACCTGAAATCCTAGCTACTCAGGAGGCTGAGATGTGAGGATCTCAGTTCAAAGCCAGCCAGGGCAGGAAAGTCATAAGACTCTTATCTACAATTAACCACCAGAAAACCAGAAGTGGTGCTGTGGCTCAAGTGGTAGAGTGCTCTCCTTGAACTGAAGAACTCAGGGACAGCACCCTGACCTAGAGTTCAAGCCCCATGACCCGCCCCCCCACACAAAAAAATAAAAATAAAAAGAATCAAGCAGAAAATTCTACCACCTATTTTTTCCCCTCTTGTGTTGGCTTGAACTCAAGACCTCTCATTCTAGAGTGGCTTTTTAACTTAAATCTACCACTTGAGCCACATTCCCCCCCCCCCCCCCCCTTCCAACTTGTTCCTATTTAATTGGAGATGGAAGATTCTCTGATTTGTCTGCCAGGGCTGGCTTCAAACCATGCTCCTTGGATCTCAGCCTCTTGTGAACCAGCAGAGCCTGGTTCCCATTGCTCCTCTCAACATCTAACATTAGGGTATTCACCTCTGACTGGCCATGTCCAACAAATGAATGCTAAGACTATCAGCGAGTCGCCATCTGTCCGCATAAAAACAATGACTTGATTCTAACCGCCTTGGCCTGGCATACTTTTTTTTTTTTTTTTTTTTTTGGGGGGGGGGTCCGGTCGTGGGGCCTGAACTCTGGGCCTGAGCGCTGTCCCTCAGCTCTTCAGCTCAAGGCTAGTGCTCTACCACTTGAGCCACAGCACCACTTCCGGCTTTTTTCTTTTTGCTTATGTGGTGCTGAGGAATCGAACCCAGGGCCCCGAGCACGCAAGGCAAGCGCTCTACCACTGAGCCACCTCCCCAGCCCTGGCCTGGGGAGAAATAATTAAAGAAATAATTATTTAACTGTAACAATCATGATAGAATTTCATGACTTTACACAAAGCCCAGGAGTCTGAAAAGAGGTTTCCCAATTTGATCTTGAGAGTCTACCCTACCCCAAGGCAGTTCTGTCTGTTTCGGAGGCGCTGGGGCTAGAACCCGGGCCCTCCAGCTTGCCCAGCAGGCCGGGTCTCCCACCGGAGCGGCGCCTCCAGCCACGCCGGCGGGAGCTCAGCCTCGAGCCGCCCCGCCAGGGCCTCGGGCCGGGGCGGAGAGCGCGGAGGACCGCGGGAGGGGCGCCGAGGGCCGCTCAGAGGCCTCCGGGCGACCCGGGCCGCGGTCAAGCGGCCGCCCCCGCCCCTCCCCGCCCCGGCCCCCGCGGCCCCGCGCCGCCGCCGCCCCCCACCCCGCTCCCCATGACCTCTGACCCGGGGGCGCGCTCCCCCGCCGCTCCCCCCGGCCCCGCGGCCCTTGACCCCGGCAAAGTCACCCCCGCGAGTCACCTGCGCAGGCGCCGCGGCCGCGTGCGTGGCCCCGACCGTCCTCCGGGCCTCCGCGGGTCGCAAGGCAGTGCTCAGCGGCCGGGCCAGGGCCAGCGTGGGGACCCGCAGCGGCGGCGGCGCCAAGGCCGCGGGCAGGCGGCGGGCACAAGCCGAAAGGACACGAGCCGCCATGGCTACGCCAACCCAGGATGCACCGCGCCGCGGCCTCCCGCCCGCCCCTCGCCTCCCGCGGCACGCTGGCCGCCTAGAGCGGCGCGGCCGGGCGGCGACGGCGCCCCCGGCGGCCCCCGGCGGTACTCCAGCCCTGGGACCGCCTACTTGCCGCGCAGCCCGCGGCCAAAGCGCGCCCACCATCCATCCCCGCCTGACGCCAGGAAGACAAGGCAACGGAGTTTGGTTTTCTGCTCGAAATACATTTGCCCAAAAGGTTTTTCGGTTTTGTAGGTCGTGGGGCTTGAACTCTGGGCCTGGGCGCTGTCCCGCAGCTCTTCAGCTCAAGGCGAGCGCTCCACCACTAGTACTCCCGCTTTTCTGGTGGCTAATTGGAGATGGAACCTTGATCCTCAGATCTCAGTCTCCTGAGCAGCTAGGATTACAGGCGTCAGCCACCGGTGCCCGGCTTGCTCCAAAGTTTTTATGCAATGATTCTTCCAGAGATATTCACTATAGAATAGGTTGAAGACGCAGTACACAACATGAAACAGACCTTCCACAGCATTTAACAGGTTGAGACACACACACACACACACACACACACACACACACACACACACACGAATGCACTCACTATATCTCTCTCTATGAATGACATAGTGTTTCCTTGTGCGGCTAAGGCAGGATTCGTGAGCCCAGGAGTTCCAGGCCAGCCCGGATGTTACAAGACCTTCTGCAAAAATAATGAATTAGTAGCGGCTCACACCTGCTACTCAGGAGGCTGAGATCTGAGGATCGCAGTTCAAAGCCAGCCTAGGCAGGTAAATCTGTGACAGGAGTTTGAATTTACAGCCTTAAGATTGCTATGCAAATGTATTCTTCTTTTTCTTTTTGTCGGTCGTGGGGCTTGAACTCTAGGCTTGGGCACTGTCCCTTCACTCGTCAGCTCAATGTGAGCATTCTACCACTTGAGCCACAGCACCACTTCTGGTTTTCTGGTGGTTTATTGGAGATAAGAGTCTCACGGACTTTCCTTCCTGGGCTGGCTTTGAACCATGATCCTCAGATCTCAGCCTCCTGAGTAGCCAGGATTACAGGCGTGAGCCACGGGCACCCGGCTTAGTGGGCCTCTTATCTCCAATAAACCACTAGAAAACCGGAAGTGGTGCTGTGGCTCAAGTGGTAGAGTGCTTGCCTTGAGCTGAAGAGCTCAGGGATAGTGCCCAGGCCCAGAGTTCAAGCCCCATAACCAGGGTAGGGGGGAAAAAAAGAGGCTGAGCTTTGTGGATTGCAGTTCAAAACCAGCCTAAGAAGGAAAGTCCAGGATTCTTATCCCCAATTAACCACCAGAAAACCAAAAGTAGTGCTGTAGTTCAAAGCACTAGAGCATTAGCCTTGAGTAAAAGTTCAGGAACAGAGCCCAGGCTGAGTTCAAGCCCAATGTCAAAAAAAAAAAAAAAGAGCAAATAAATACTAGTAATTTGAGCTAAAATTCTAAGCACTATCACCAAATCAATACATTGAAAATTTCTGTCTCGTGGGACATGGTGCTCTTGTGTGCAATCCCAGCACTCAGAGGACTGTGTGTTCATGGGCAGCTTGGGCCATGTTGTAAACTGCAGTGTCACCAGTGGTAAGTCAATGGGATGAAGGTCACATGGGAGCGAGCATGAGGAAGAGCAACACCATTTCTAAATCAGGGTACTCATTCAATACACATAAAAATAAAATATTAGGGCTGGGAATGTTAGCTTAGTGGTAGAGTGCATGCCTAGCATGCATGAAGCCCTGGGTTTGATTCCTCAGTACCACATAAACAGAAAAAGCTGAAAGTGGTGTTCTGGTTCAAGTGGTAGAGTGCTAGCCTTGAGAAAAAGAAGCTCAGGGACAGAGCCCAGGCCCTGAGTTCAAGCCCTAGGACTAGAAAAAAAAATACAGTAATACAAAAATAACACAGCCAATACAGAATAATAAATAATAATCCAAGAGGCATACTGCACTGTAGTAATCCACACCAAGTGAATTACTCTTCTAGCAAGCATGGCTGACTAAATACTCTAGGTGCAGACTTATTTAGGTCCTGGTTTGGAAAATGATCTCAATACAATGACAAAAAATATGTCAAGCAGAATGTATGAAAATAAATATTTATTGGCATTTGAAGTTTTCTGTACACCTTTAAAAGTAAATGTGCAAATGTGGCTATCACCAAAGTGCCCCAGATCCTTTACCTCAGGGTAACATGAACCAGCAGTGCCACCACCATCACAGCAAACATCCCAAGTCATCCCTTTACATGTCACTTGGGAGTTCTCCCAATTTCCACCCAAAAGTGCTGGGAGATCAAATACACCCAGAAAAGTGTTTTCCTTTTAACTCATGAGTAGCGATATATGAATATATTTCCATCTTTCTGTCCAGCCAGCAAATGAGAATCTGTAGCTGACCATTTTACGAAAGACCAATTTTGATCTGGGCTGGGTGGCAGGAGGGCAGCACAGCGCCCCAGCACTAAGTCCCAGACAGCAATTGTTCCAGAAGTCAGGACTGCGGCTGCGAGGTGGTCTCGCACATCCCCTTCCAGGAACCTGCACCAAGAAGAGAGGATGGTTTATACCACACAACAAACAAGTTGGTTTTTACCAAGACGGACAAGTTGGTGGCCCATGCCTGTAATTCTATCTACTGAGGAGGCTGAGATCTGAGGATCTCAGTTCAAAGCCAGCCTGGGAAGCAAAGTTCATGAGACTCTGATCTCCAATTAACCATCAGAAAACCAGAAATGGTGTTGTGGCTCAAAATAGTAGAGCACTAGCTTTGGGTCAAAGAGCTCAGAGACAGTGTCCAAGCCCCGAGTTCAAATCCCATGACCAAAAGAAAAGAACCAGGTCAAAGCTGGGTGCTCATGCCTGTAATCCTACTCCACAGGCTTAGATCAGAGGATCATGGTTCAAAGCCAGCCTGGGCAGGAAAGTCCATGAGACTCTTATCTTCAACTAACCAGCAAAAAAGCTGGAAGTGGAGCTGTGGTTCAAGTAGTAGAGTGCCAGCCTTGAACTCAAAATGCTCATGGGCAGTGCCCAGGGCCTGAGTTCAAGTCCCACTATGGACACTGAGAGAGAGGAGGTGGGGGGGGGAGAAGGAGGGGGAGGGAAGGAAGGAGGGGGAGGTCCCAAGAGTTTATCCCTTCCACATGTAGCCAGTGCATCTATGAAGGAGGAAGTACATCCTCCTAGGACACTGCAGCTGCCAGCACCCTGATCTTGGATCTTGCAGAGATGAACTTCCATTATTCATAAACTGCCTAGTCTGTAGTATTTTGCTATAGCAACTCAAATGGACTAACAGATGCTTCCTACAGGATTGGCCCCACATAGGCTATCAAGGTTTGCTGAATACATAGGGTTAATAAGATGCCAGAGCCAGCAGCTGTCTCCAGGACTATTCTAGGCCAGTGACTAGGGCTCTGTCTTTCCATCCAAGACATCAAGTGGTTAAGTGAAAGCACACACTGCAGGTGAGATCTGAGGCTCTCAGAAAGGAGTATTCCATAAAGGTTACAGCATTTATCGGAGTAAATAAATACACAGGGACTTAGCTGGATAAGGGCTTAAGGATGTCTTTTGCACAAGGTGCAAAGAAGCATGCACAGTAACCCCTGGGCTCCTCGTCCTCAGGAACTATTAAAGCTAATATTGTAATCTTGAGTTATGGTGTCTGTTTTCAATCCTTTTTCTCCAACACAGATAAAGGAAGTCTTTAGACTCAGATGCTACCTGGGTGATTTGACTTTGATGCTGTTTTATAGCTCAGAAACCCCTTGAGGAGCAATGTGTCCAATCATCCATTGACCGGTAAGTGTTTATCAATAGACTGCCTGCACAGTTGAGGCTCAGCCATGTCTCAAAGGGACAATCATTGTCTTCCTGAGGTACAAGGAAAAGTCCCTTAAATGAGCTCTGGTGGAAAGAACCTAAACTGTTCAGTTTCCAGCACAGCACAATCAATACGTGGTGCTTTAAACATATTGAGTGAATGAACAAAAGAGTTGACATGCACACTGAAAAACCCCGGATGGGGCTTCCACACTCTAGTCCTACAAACAGGGAGAGAGGTGGACATCTCAGTGGGCAGGAGGACCCCTGAGCTCTACCACATGTGTTTGGGCGCCACAGCCAGTCACACTGGGCCAGCCGCCCCATTTCCCTGACTGCATGGAGACAGGAGACTCAGTGAACCCCTGAGTTAAGCCATACCTTCTGTGTACTCTGCACTTAAGAGTATAAGAAGCTTCTGCTGTTTGGCCGGAACTTCAGGTGAAAGCTGTGTGTGTGTGTGTGTGTGTGTGTGTGTGTGTGTGTGTTGAAGGGGGAGGGTGTGTGTGTGTGTTGAAGGGGGAGGGTGTGTGTATGTGTGTGTGTGTAGGACGGCCACCTTGGAGCCCTCTGTCAGCACGTGCATGCTGTGGACCGACCTTGCATACTTCCTGCCGACTTTGGGGCAGCCTCAGGCAATGTGCCCCACAGCTACTCAGGAGGCTGAGATCTAAGGATCAGGGTTTCTAGCCAGCCAGGCAGGAAGAGTCACAAGACTCTACCTCCAATTACCGAGCAAAAAAGCTGGAAAGAGCTGTGGTTCAAGTGGCAGGTGACAGGTGTGCGGCTTTACCATTTCTATGATGAGCTACAGTAGGGTCTTTCTCATCTATCCAGTGACACAAGAATAATTTGTACAGTACCTTCCAAAGGGCCACACCCCCGAACCAAAGCTGTAACCACTTGCCTTCCAGCCTGCCCTTGGGGCAGGCAATACAGCAGCACCCCCACACTCAGGGCAGTCTTGGGGTTGATCGCCACCAGCTGGAACACTGGGCTTCCCAACCACTCGCTCTCTTTGGCACAAGGGTGACTCAAAACCACAAACAGGAGCCCCTGGTGTAGGAGAAAAATAACCAGACCATCAAGAGCATACTCGGCAAAGACAAGATCAAAGAATAATAGGATTGATCTTAATAAGCTCCTAAACATCAGTGGTTCTCTCACTCTGCAAACAGGAAGTGGACTTGAGGGTTTAAGCATGGGTCCCAGGGGTACTGGGTGTATGGCTGAGCATGAGTCTAGATAAGCCATCATTTCCTCTACCTTTAGAGAAAGCCTTGGCACAGGTGTACAGCTTCCAGTGAAGAAATACCCACATGTAAAGTGGCATTTGAAAGCTGAAAATATGTTTTCCTAAGAATAACTTGTTAAGTGGAGGCTGAACTCTCAGGCAAGTCCAAAGAGCAGGCAAAAGCTCAGATGCTACTTGTGGAGTGACCTTAAAGAGGACATCACAGTTGGGCAAACATATGTTAACAGTCTCTCCCAACTTAAAATAGATAGTTCCTATTAACTTCTTTCTGTGTGTGTGTACTGGGGCTTGAAGTCAGGGTCTAAGCACTGTCACTTTAGCCTTTTCACTCAAGGCTGGCACTCTACCATTTGAGATAAAGAGTCTCATGAACTTTCCTGCCCAGGCTGGCATATAACGCTGACCCTCAGATCTCAGCTTCCTGAGTAGATAAGATTATGGGTGTGAGCCCCCTGTGCTCAGCTCAGATCCTGCTATTATTACTGATGTATCTACAAACAGATGGAGCCATTCTCTTAGTAAGAAAGGGAAAATTAAACTATAGGGCCATTTTAGAATGAGTAACATGCACGTTCTACTTATCCATTTCTAAAATGAATGAATTTTTAAATTATTCTATTTTTGTTGGTTGTGGGGCTGGAACTCAGAGCCTGGGCACTGTCCCTGAGCTCTATGCTCAAGGCTAGCGCTCTACCACTTTGAGCCACAGCACCACTTCCGATTTTTTGGTGGTTCATTCGAGATGAGAATCTCATGGACTTTCCTGCCTGGGCTGGCCTTGAACTGGGATCTTCAGATCTTAGCATCCAGGACCTCTAGGTGTTCATGCCCTCAGGGTACTACTGATGCCAGGGTGGTGAGTCCTGATTGCACCTACACTGCTGCCAATGCCTATGCATGTGGCTTTTCTTTTTCTGTTGGTCCTAGGCTTGATTCAGGGCCTGGGCTCTGTCTGAGATTTTTTTTTTCTTTTTTTTTCTCTATTTTTTTTTTTTTTTGGTCGGTCATGGGGCTCAATTCTGGGCCTGGGCGTTGTCCCTCAGCTCTTCAGCTCAAGACTAGCACCCTACCACTTGAGCCACAGTGCCACTTCTGGCTTTTTTCGGCTTATGTGGTGCTGGGGAATTGAATCCAGGGCCTTATGCATGTGAGGCAAGCACTACCACTGAGCAAACTTCCCAGCCCCATCTATGAGCTTTTTTGCTCAAGGCTAGTGCTGTACCACTTGAGCCACAGCTTCATTTCTGACTCCCCCCCCCCCCCCCCCCCCCCGATCCTGGGCCTTGAACTCAGGGCCTAAGCACTGTCCCTGAGCTTCTTTTTGCTCAAGGTTAGCACTCTACCCTTGAGCTACAGTGCCACTTCTGGCCTTTTCTGTGTATGTGGTACTGAGGAATTGAACCCAGGACTTCATGAATGTAGGCAAGCACTCTACCACTAAGGCACAGTCCCAGCCATCATTTCTGACTTTTTGCCAGTTAACTGGAGATAAGAGTCTCATAGACTTTATTGCCCAAGCTGGCTTTGAACCAGAATCCTCAAATCTCACTCTCCTGAGTAGTTAGGATTACAGGCCTGAGCCACTGGTACCTGGCATTGCACCTAGCTTTTCCATACACACTCATGTCGATATTCTTCACCATTCCTGGACAACTATGTGTCAGATGCTGAAACTAAGACCTAACACATGGGCTGGGAAGGTGGCTCAGTGGTAGAGTGCTTGCCTTACATGCATGAGGCCCTGGGTTCCATTCCTCAGCACCACATAAGCAAAAAGAAAAAAGCTGGAAGTGGCACTGTGGCTCAGGTAAATGGTAGAGCGCTAGCCTTGAGCTGAAGAGCTGAGGGACAGTGCCCAGGCCCAGAGTTCAGGCCCCACAACCGGACCCAAAAAAAAACAAAACAAAAAAAAGACCTAACACCATGGCCAAATAATGGTGTTTCTCCCTATAGAACAGCCAGAAAATCTAATAAGCAATCAGTGTCCCAACACTTGTCTGCATTCAGAAACTTCAAAAAAAAAGGCAAACACAGCTATCCAATTGTAAGAAAGAAGGCAACAGGCCAGCCCTGTCTATGACTGTCACTGCTCTTATGGCCAAGGCTGACAGTAGGGCATAGGGAGACACAAGGGAGGGCTGACACTCACTCACCATTTCAGAATAGGCTCTGTGACACACCGAGGCTTGGTAAGAATCGGCCATGTGCATTTTTTTCAGGAGTTGACCAGTCCTTAAATTCCTAAGACACCAAAAGTAAATAAGCTGACACCATCTTTCCAGCAAACTGCCTTGCAACCACAATATTCTTTTAAGGAAGTGACCAAGGGAAAAATAAGGCACATATACCTTTGATTTGTCTTAGTCCAATTTAGCTAAAAGTAGAACTGTAGGTTAACTTCAATTACACAAGGCCTTAAATTGAACCTGGGAGGCCACTGGGACAAATGTTTCCCAAGTCCACAAGAAATTCTCCATGGTCTCTGTTTTTGCTTTTCTGGTCCTGAGATTTGAATTCGGCTCAGAGCCTGGGCGCCGTCCCTGAGAGGTTTGCTCAAGGCTCACACTCTGCCACTTGAGCCTCTGCTCTACTTACAGCTTTTTTAGTTTGCTGGAGTTAGAGAAGTCTCATGGACTTTCCTGCCTGGGACAGCTCTGAACCAATCTTTAGATCTCAGCCTCCTGAATAGCTAGGATTACAGGCCTGAGCCTGGCTATGGTCTCATTTTACTTGGGCAGAAACCAAGCACGAAGTACAGAATTGTTACTACATTTTTGTGACTTTTCTTGCATGCCTACATTTTTTTTCTTTTTTTTGGGTCCGGTCGTGGGACCTGACCTCTGGGCCTGGGCGCTGTCCCTCAGCTCTTCAGCTCAAGGCTAGCGCTCTACCACTTGAGCCACAGCGCCACTTCTGGCTTTTTTTTTCTGCTTATGTGGTGCTGAGGAATCGAACCCAGGGCCTCATGCATGCAAGGCAAGCACTCTACCACTGAGACCCCTTCCCAGCCCCAGCATGCCTACATTTTCCAGGGAAGAAAATGGCCACGAAGGCAGACTTGGCAGGGTGAGGAATATAGCTGTAACAGATCATGTGTATTTACAATAGAGGTAGGCCAAGATAATGAAGACAGAAGAGAAGATTAAGCTGGGGCAGAATCTCGGGAGAGGACGAACAGAGAGAAGAGGGTACATGAGGAAGAAGGGAAGAGTTTGGGGGCTCTCCTCACTGTGTCAAGGATCTGTGGCACTGGTCCTGGCACCCCACTGTGGGCTCCTGATTACCACAAGGCCTGTCTCATGTTGCATGATACCCTCACAAGCCTGGCCAGCAAGGCTTCACTATTCATCTATGCCTGCCATGTGTCTCTCTGGTCTAGACCTCTGCTCAGGTGCTCCTTTCCAATGCCCTTCTGTTACTGGCCCATTTCCCACCATCCCATAGGCCAAGTTTAGGTCTCATACCTCCAAGATGCAGAAAGCTAAATTAGCTTCCTCCTCCGCTTATGCCAGCTCACAGTCACCCCCTCTCTTCTCACTCCCTGTAGTACAAGTCCCTATACCTCACTTTGATTTTAATATGCAATAATGGGTATGACAAGTCATCTAACAAATATAAAGCTTTCTTTGCACAGGAACTATATGCAAAGACCTTGAGAAAAGCTAGGTGCAGTGGGTCATGCCTGTAATCTCAGTTACTTGGGAGGGAGAGGGCAAGAGGATCATGGTTTGAGGTCGGCTTGGGCAAAAGTTAATGAGATACCCCTTACCCAATCTCAAGAAACAGGCAAGGCATGGTGGGTCACTCTTAAATCCTAACTATGTGGGAGGCTTAAGTAGGAAGAGTAAGGTCTAAGGCTAACCCTGGGCAAAATGTGTAAGACCTTATCTGAAAAACAGGCAAAAAGGGCTGGGGATATGACTCAAATGGTAAAGAAAATAGGAAGGTTAGCGTTCAAACTCTAGTACCAACAAAAACTAAACCAACCACCACCAAAGGGAACAAAAATTAAACAACAATAACAACAGTGCTGTAAATGTGGCTTAGTGGTAGATGCTTGCCTAGCACGCAGGAAGCCCTGAGTTCGATTCCTCAGTACTACATAAACAGAGAAGGCCAGAAGTGGCGCTGTGGCTCAAATGGTAGAGTGCTAGCCTTGAGTAAAAGAAGCTCAGGGACAGTTCCCAGGTCCTGAGTTCAAGCCCCAGGACTGGCCAAAAATAAGTAAATAAAATAAAAACAAATTTAGAGAGGGAAGTCCTTATACGTATATGAAGACCCAAGGAAAGCTTACCAGATGATGACGTTGCTCATGACAGTGGTGCCAAGCAGAGCTTCCTGCATCCCCTGCACCTCGGCGAAAGTCAGCACAGTTTCTTCAGGGGGCATCAAAAACCGCTTTTCTTTGCTTCTGCATTGAAGATAGTATTAAAAATCAAGACTTTGCACCAAAGCAATGTCTAAATAGCGCTTGTATCTATCATAAACTGTATATAATAAAAACTGACCTAATACTGGAAGAAGCATTTAAAGAAGAGAATCTGTATTCTAGACTCTCTACGACAAACATATAATCTGCTTCCACATTATGACTTGGACATGCTATAGGCATCTCTTATGCATCGTATCCAATACTAAACTCATCAACTTTCTCTTTAAATCTCATTTCTTGAAGCCAGGAGCAGGTGGCTCATGCTTGTGATTACAATCCTGGCTACTTGGGAGTCTGAGCTCTGAGAATCACAGTGCAAAGTTAACCTGGGCAGGAAAGTCTGTGAGACTCTTATTGCCAACCAAGCACTAAACAACAACAAAACAGCCAGAAGTAAAGCTGTGGCTCAAATGACAGAGCCCTAGTCTTGAGTAAAAAAACTCAAGGCAGCACCCAGGCCCTGAGTTCAAACCTCAGGACCAACACACAACACATACATACACAAAACCTCATTTCTTTGGCATTTCTCAACAACTATACAACCACTTCCCAAGTCACCAGTCCTAAATTCTGGCTATCGATCTTTCCAACTTCCTCTAAGTCCAGTCCATCATCAAGCTGCAGGGATTTATGGTTTCTAGTCTTCCAGGTTCCTCTCACTAACACTCTCCTAACTAGAGCATGTTACTTGTCTTTTAAGACAGCCAAGGTCCCTGTCCTGTTATTAGGAAAGACAAAAAATTAATAATTATTAAGTGACCAGGTTCCAGTGGCTCACACTTGCAATACTAGCTACTGAGATGGCTGAGATCTGAGGATGGCAGTTTGAAGCCAGGGCAGGAAAGCCAGTGAGACTCTTATCTCCCAATTAATTACCAAAAATCCAGAAGTACAGTTGTGGCTTAAGTTGTAGGACACTACCCTTGAGCAAAAAAGCCAAGGGAGAATAAAAGACCTGAGTTCAAGCCCCAGTAATGGTGTGTGCACGTACATGCGTGCCTGCACACACGTACACACATGAATAAAAAAATAGAGTTGGGCGCTGGTGGCTCACGCCTGTAATCCTACCTACTCAGGAGGCTGAGATCTGAGGGTCATGGTTCAAAGCCAGCCCTGGAAGGAAAGTCCATGAGACTCTTATCTCCAATTAAACACCAGAAAACCGGAAGTGGCGCTGTGGCTCAAGTGGTAGAGTGCTAACCTTGAGCTGAAGAATTGAGGGACAGTGCCCAGGCCCAGAGTTCAAGCTCCATGACTAACAAAAAAAGTAAATAAATAAAATGGAACAGGCTCAATGGGAGAATACACGCATGAGGCCCACAGTTCAATCCATAGCACTATAAACAAAATTAAAGGAAAAAAAATGTTGTGAGTATGGTTTTCTTCATGTTGACTTTGAGGTGCCCACAGAGGGCTGACAAGCAGCCTGAGAAAGAGATAAACTAGAAATGTACATTTCAACTACGAGCATCCAGATGGCAAAGACACCAAGTATGAGGAGCCAGGAAAGAGCTCAAGACCTGAAAGTACGTCTAACACAGAGATTTCATTTTTTGTGTGTGTGTGCCAGTCCTGGGGCTTGAACTCTGAGCCCCAGGACTGTACCTAGGTTTTTTTTTTGGTCAAGGCTAGTGTTCAACCACTTAAGCCACAACTTCCACTTCTGGCTTTTTTTTTGGTAGTTAATTGGAGATACAGAGTCTTGCAGACTCCTGTCCTAGCTGGCTTTGAACCATGATTCTCAGATCTCAGCCTCCTGAGTAACTAGCTCATTCCATGAACTACCAGGGTCCAGTGACACAAAGATTTCAAAAAAGGCTGAAGAAAGAAGAACCTCCCTGCCCCTCCTGACTTCCACCTCTCAGACCCACTTCTAGATTGTGACCCTGGGTTGAGGGACTTCCTGCTTGCCTCTAGCACAGGGGAATGAGATTCCAGGGATCTACTGTCTCTGAAACCTCTGACAAACAACTCTCTAACTAGTAGTCAAGACCATCTGGTGCCTTCCTTACCCGCCATCCTCAGCCAGTGTCATGACTTCCACTTGCTGATCACAGGGGACCCCACTGCTGCAGACTAGCCGCCTCTTTGTCAGGCCAAGCACAGCCTTTATATTTCCAGATTGTAGGAGCACGTGCCTTTCACTTTCATCACCACAGGACCAAAGCAATGCCCTAAGCCAAAAGGCAAAGAACTATTAAAAGACTAATACAAAGTTTAAAACAAACATCAATCAGACATGACATGATTTAAAAAAAAAAATCTTCCTTTCAATTCAGATTCTTGAAAGAATCTGAACTCAAAACAAGCTAACAAAGACCAAGAAAACACAACACACACAAACCACACCAAGACCAAATAGCAGTCACTCCTTGGGACTTTCCATACCTGATTTCTCTGATTTCCAAAGTTCCCAATGCCACACACACCAGATTAGAAACCTCGGGTATTGGAACTATTTGTAACACTGGAACCTAGATAAAACACAGTTAAAATTCTATTTTGTTGTTTCAGTTTAAATCAAGCTACATTTCCCAAAATTTTGTACATTGTTTTGTAGCCTTACTATACCAGGATTATTTCCAACATTGAAGTACATGTGAGAAGGTTCTGGAGCCACCTTGTGCTAGTGGTTAGTTAGCACCCACCTCAACCTTATTGTACTTTCTCTTTCTTTTTCCTTTTGTCTAATTTGTGTGTGCTGGTATTGGGGCTTGAACTCAAGGTGCTGTTCCTGAGCTTCTTTTGCTCAAGGCTAGTGCTCTAGCACCTGAACCACAGCTCTACTTCCAGCTTTTTTTTTTTTTGTAGTTTAGTGGAGATAAGAGTCTCAAAGCCTAGGAATGTGGCTTAGTAGTAGAGTACTTGCCTAGCATGCATGAGGCTCTGTGTTTGATTCCTCAGTACCACACAAACAAAAAATAAATAAAAATCTTTAAAAGGTCTCAGAGACTTTCCTGCCTGGCTGGGTTCAAATCATAATCCTCAGGTCTTAGCCTCCTGAGTAGTTGGGATTACAGGCATGAGCTACCAGTACCTGGCTCACTTGGCTTTTTTTTTTTTTTTAATTATGAAGGCTGGCATTCTACAACTTAAGCCATCCAACTCTTTTTGGCTGGTTAATTGGAGATAAGATAGCTAAGATGACAGTTGTGAGCCATCAGAGTACCCCACTCAAAATTCTTTTAGGACAAGGCCTTGAATTATGGTCTGTTTCTGTCTTCCAAGTAGCTATGACTACACATGTGCAACCAAGCCCAGAAAGCTAGCATTTATCTAATACTATTTATATCTCTAATTTTGAGAGGGGAAAGGCTGAGTAAATTCTAGCCAGTGAGTGTAAAGAACATTATACTTAAAATATATGTGTATCCCAGCTACTCAGATGACAAACAGAGAAAGAGATGAGGGGGAAAGAAGACAGATGTAAGCGTGTTTAGAAGTCAGCAAAATTCCAAGCTCCTGCAACAGGCCTCGTATAGTCCTTAATAAAAAGTGTTAAGACAAATAAAGCATTATGCTGATGGTAGGGTCAAGATGGTGACCCACGGACACCCACATCACAATTCTTTGAGCTTTTTTCATTAATATGTAGTGGGAAATAAGCCAGCCCTTGTGTTCTGTCACGCACAATTCTGCCAAGTTGTCAATCTACATGATCACAGCCTGCAAAGATGCCTTTCAGCTTGGAGGTTCACACTCACCTCTGTGAAGTGCCAGGTGTACATTTTCTCCCATTGCCACGTATGCAGCGGCTTCCAAAGAGAAACTGCGTATTCACAAGCAGTTATGATGCATGGCTCCTTCAAGCCAGCTTGTTCCCACCACAGGGCGCTCACATCCACGGAACAGGAACTGCAGGGGTTCTGACCCAGAACGGCAACAACAACGATGTTAAAGGGACCCCTGCAGTCTATGTAATGACAAGAACTAGCATGTACTCAAAACAGCGCTGTGGCTCAAGTGGTAAAACGCCAGACTTGAGTGAAAAAGCTAAGGGGACAAAGCCCAGGCCCTGAATTCAAGCCTCAGGACCTGTACAAAAAAAAAGAAAGGAAGAACAAGTATGCCAAGTGATACAGTACAAGGATGAAATGAAATGCTAGAGAAAGGAAGTGAGAGTTTTATGCAGATTCCAAGAAAGCTTTATGGGTCTTATGTAGCTATACTGCCTATATGCACTTATTTAAATCACGACAGCTTTTAGATCTAGCAGCAGACACATTCTGATTTAAGCACAAAAGCAAGCTTAGCCATTTGGAAATGAAGCATCTTGATAAAAACACATAAGTTAATGGTGATAACACTGAACCACACACAGTGTACCCCTTTTGAGGACAAGAATGCATGTCAAAACCTATTAAGTGCCAAACTGATGGACATGTCTATAGTCCTAGCAATTGAGAGGCTGAGGCTAGAGAATCTTGAGTTTGAAAACTAGTCTGGATAGTATAGTGAGATATGTCTTAAAAATAAAACTGCTGGGTGGTGGTGGTTCATGCCTGTATTCCTAGCTACTCAGGAAGCTGAGATATTGGGATTGTAGTTACAAACCAGCTGGGGCAGGAAAGTCCATGAGACTTTTTTTCCTTCTTGGTCCAAGACCAGGACTCAAACTCAGTACTTGTATCTGCTTTCATTCTACCAACTGAGCCACTCCTCCGACACCCCCACCCCCACCAAAAACAAAACAAAACAAAACAAAAAGCCAAAAGGAGATCTGTGGCACATGGTCCAGTACTAGTCTTAAGCAAAAAAACTAAGGAACTATGAGTTTCAGGACCTGAGTTCAAGGATAGGCACCAAAAACAATACACACACTACTACTACCACTACCACCACCACCACCACCACCACCACCACCACCGCCCCCCTACAACTCCTGAAAAACGAAACAATAAAACCCTCAAATCTACAAAGCATTGTGTTAAAGCAGTATTTCCAAGAAAAATTCACCATCATAAAGGTATGAGAGAAGAAAAACTGAGTAAAATATGAGGCATGAAGTTTAAGAAGTCAGTAAAACCAAAAGAAAACGATGGCACAAGGTGAGAACAACCTACCTATAATCCTAGCCCTAAGGAGGCTGAGGCAGGAGGACTGTGAGTTCAAGGCCAGCCTTTGCTGGTGCAGTGGCTCACACCTGTAATCCCAGCTACTGTGGAGACAGTGGTCAGCAGTACCTAATTTCAGGGTAGCAGGGGCAAAGTTAGCCTAACCCCCATTTCAATCAGTTCCTAGGTGTGGTGATATATACCTGTCACCCTAGCTATGCAGAAAATATAAAAAAGGCCTTAAATGTTAAGATACAAACAACATAATAAAATTGTTAGGAAACTAAGTTTTAAAATTGACTACAATAGTTTTGAAACGGAGCAGTGTGTGAATCTTTCACAGACAAGGAGTCTGTGCTGGAGCTGATCTGATGTAACTGGTGAAAGCATTGTTTGTATCTTGAAGCTTTCCTCTATGCTGTGATTCTCCTCTAGGCAATATTCCAATTATCATACCACAAAGAAGAGCATTTCAGGAGCTGGGAAAGTGGCTCAGTGGCAGAGCGCTTGCCTTGCATGCCTGAGGCCCTGGGTTCGATTCCTCAGCACCACATAAGCAGAAAGAAAAAAGCCAGAAGTGGCGCTGTGGCTCAAGTGGTAGAGTGCTAGCCTTGAGCTGAAGAGCTGAGGGACAGCGCCCAGGCCCAGAGTTCAGGCTCATGACTGGACCCCCCCCCCCCCCAAAAAAAAGAGCATTTCAGTTGGGTGCCAGTGGCTCATGCTTATAATCCCAGCTACACAGGAGGCTGAGATTTGAGGATCAAGGCTCAAAGCCAGCCTAGGCAGGAGAGTCCATGAGACTCATCTCCAAAAGTGGAACTGTGGCTCAAGTGGTACAGCACAAGCCTTGAGCACAAAAGCTCAAGCAACCAGGCCCTGAGTTCAAGCCCCAGGAGAGGCACAAATTTAAAAAAAGAAAAAAAAAAAAGACGAACATTTCACTATATCAAAATCTAAAACTGGCCAGGCACCAGTTGCTCACGCCTGTAATCCTAGCTACTCAGGAGGTGAGATCTGAGGATAGCGGTTCAAAGCCAGCCCAGGCAGGAAAGTCCATGAGACTCTTATCTCAAACTATCAGAAAACTGATGTGGTACTGTGGCTCCAGTGATGAGAGCTAGCCTTGAGCTGAGGAGCTGAGGGACAATGCCCAGGCCCAGAGTTCAAGCCCCACGACTGCTCCCCCCCAAAAAAAATCTAGAACTGTTTGTCTCATCTATTCTTTTTTCATTCATTCATTCATTTTTTTTATATAGTTCAGACTATATCAATACAATCCTCCTTTTCTGCCTCCTGAGTGCTGGGATTATAAGAGTATGATACTACAACCAGCACATTTTCTTTCTTTTAATGCCAGTCCTAGGGCTTGAACTCAGGTCCTGGGTGCTGTCCCTGAGCATTTGTGTAGCTAGGATTACAGGCAGGAGCCACAAGTGACTAGCAATCATCCCATTTTCTTATAAATCATTCCAAATAATACTGGAAATACTATACTTTTTGGGTAAGAGAGGCATGAATGACTCTCAGCTGTTTTCCTATCAAAATGCCTGATTTAAATGTAGATACTAAGTTATTTACTTAAGTTATTGAGCTTAAGTTGTTCTTGGCAATAGTCTGGATATGTAAACTATAAAACTGAAAATGCAAATGTGGATAAATATGCCTGTAATCCTAGCTATTCAGGAGGCTAAAATCTAAGGAGAATGGTTTAAAGCCTGGCCCAGCAGGAAAAGTCCATGAGAATCTTAGCTCCAATTAACTACCAGAAAATCGGAAGTATTGCTATGGCTCAAAGTGGTAGAGTGTTAGCTTTGAGCCAAAGAGCTCTGGCACAGTGCCCAGGCTCAGAGTTTAGGTCCCACAACCAACCAAAAGTAAAGAAGGAATTCAAACTTGTTTTCTGAATTTATCAGTATATTTAATAATAAGAACCAGAAACTGATCAGAGTATGATCAGTTTCAATATCAATTCATATGCATAGTAACAATAGTCTCCTGACCTTTAACTTTGAAAGCAATTGTAGACTGCCTGGGTTTAAGCCATCGCCAGCCAGAAGATGTGCTGTTTCGGGCTGTGGAAACAAAAGCCAGGCCATCAGTGCATTTTGCCTATGGTGTCGCCTGCGTCCCTCACAGATTGCAGGTTGCAGGACCTCACCTGTAACCATCTCTACCAGCAGCAGCACCACTGACAGAACAGGACCACATTTAACAATCCTCTTAATCACCCTGAATCTCCCCAGGGGCCTTAATGCTCCCTATGAAATATAACACCTCACTCTTTAATATGTATCAGCAAGAGTCCATCTTGCTTATTATATGGGAAGTTAGATATTTACCGTGCAGCTTGTGAAATTTGTAATAACCTCCTAATTATCCATTAAGAAAGATATTCTCCTTTAAACAAAGGAGGAGGCTGCAATGCTTGGTAAGAAATGTACGCATTATCCTGCCCATGTAACTGTAACTCCTCTGTACAGTATGTTCACAAATAAAATTAAATTTAAATTTAAAAAAAAAAAAAAAAGAATATATTCTTCCTCAAAAAAAAAAAAAAAGAAAGATATTCTCCTTAAGGAAGAAAACTTTTGCTAAATTAGACTCACCACTTAGTTAGTTTTAATCAATACTAGGACCAAATTTGAATCTTTGCTGTTTTATACTGGTTGTTTGATGTTGGAAAGATTGCCAGACTTTTCCGATCTGGAGTTTCATGACACAGCAGGTAAAAAAATATCTGCCTTGGGCTGGGAAGGTGGCTCAGTGGTAGAGCACTTGCCTTGCATGCCTGAGGCCCTGGGTTCGATTCCTCAGCACCACATAAGCAAAAAGAAAAAAGCCAGAAGTGGCACTGTGGCTCAAGTGGTAGAGCGCTAGCCTTGAGCTGAAGAGCTGAGGGACAGCGCCCAGGCCCAGAGTTCAGGCCCCACGACCGGACCCCCCCCCAAAAAAATAAACAAAAATAAAAAAATCTGCCTTGGCTGGGCACCGGAGGCTCACACCTGTAATCCTACTCAGGAGGCTGAGATCTAAGGATCTCATCTCAAAGCCAGCCCAGGCAGGAAAGTCTGTGAGACTCTAATTAACCACCAGAAAACCGGAAGTGGCGCTGTGGCTCAAGTGGCAGCGTGCTAGCCTTGAGCTGAAGAGCTGAGGGGCTCAGCACACAGGCACAGAGTTCAAGTTCCATGACCTACCAAAAAAAAAAATCTGCCTCGGGCTGAGAAGTTGGCTCAGTGGTAGAGCGCTTGCCTCGCATGCATGAGGCCCTGGGTTTGATTCCCCAGCACCACATAAGCAGAAAAAAATCCAGAAGTGGTGCTGTGGCTCAAGTGGAAGGGCGCTAGCCTTGAGCTGAAGACTTAAGGGACAGTGCCCAGGGGCCCAGAGTTCAGCCCCCACGACCAACAACACGACTGACAAAAAAAAAAAATCTGCCTCTCAGTAATACTTCATTATAAAATGGCAAGAAGTGAGTGTGATTTTGTAAGTATTAGGAATTTCATTTCCTTTCCCCTTTCTTCAGTCACTTGGGACTTTGTATTAATCGCATTTCTACTCTGTGCCTGATCCTTAATAAAAATCACCTCAGGGTAACGTGGTAAAACCCTCACACACGGGAGGCCACTGGCAAGAAAGGCATGCTGCCCACATTCGCTAAGACATTTCATTCTTTCAGAGAAAATTCACAAGGAAACGATTGTACCTGTTCAGTGAAATGCTCAGGCAACGCCAGGCATGCGTTTCCACACAGCTGATTTTCTCTGAAAGGGAATGACTCAGTGGGTGCAGGTGTTGCTTGGGGGCCAGAGTCACGGTCACAGGCAGACTGTCCTCGCCTACCTGGCACACGCAGGCTGGTATCCAGTTTGAGAGGGTCGGCTGTACTGTCCAAGTGTTTAGGAGCCCTAGCTAGACTGACTGTGTCTTCCGAGGGAGAAAGGTGGGGCAGGGAGCAAGCTGGTCCATCAACCTGGGCAGACATTCCTTCACAGGATGCCTGAGAGCTGGAAGCTGGAGTGGTGCCCAGGGTGGGGAAAGCTGGGGAACACAGGTCTGAGGCAGGCCTGGTACTCTCATCACCAGCAGCAGCAGCAGTGTTTAAAGGAGTGAAGAGGACCATGGAGGAAGAAAGGCCCTTGCGGGGAGTCTGGCTCTCTGGGCTTGGCATTTGAGGATGTGCTCTTCCTGGGACAGAAGTAGGTTCTTCCAACTCCTTCACTTCTGCAGTTATGCACTGAGGAATCCGTTGCTCTTTAAGAAACTTCTTTGCATACGTTTTTGATTCAAGAGGTTGAATGGGTTTCTCTGAGAACTTCAGTTTTTCAAGCTTCAGAGGCCCAAAGTCCTCATCAGGTAACTGAAAATCTGTGATATGGAGCAAAAACAATTTTAAACTTAGCACTTCATTCCTATGAAATGGGACACTGAAAGTAATATCATCCAAAGCTCAATAGACTCAATGACTTTCCTTCCCCAAGACAGAAAAGTAAGCACCAACAACAGGAATACACCACATGAGACATTAACATCCCCTGAAGAGTTAGCTTTCAAGGTTAAGTACAGTAGAATATGTTTCTTATTTCTCTCATCCATGACTCTGAAACCTGGAAAGAGTGGTTAGCTAATGACTGGTCTTATGCAGGTCCTGGAAACGTAGTGCTCTGAGTACTATCTGGGGATAGGAAGACTGGGGCAGGTTCCACCCAGCTGATGACTTACATAACACAGGGACAATCAATTCATGTCATTTTCCTTCCTCCCTCATTGCCACTCACAAGAGAACTGGGCTAAGAATCTCTGAAGTCATTCTCAAATGGTACTACTAGCCTTGAGCAAAAAAGATCAGGAACAGCATCCAGACCCTGAGCTCAAGTCCCAGAACCAGCATCAAAAGAAAAAAAAAATGAAGATGCAGCTGGGTGCTGATGATTCATACTTATAATCCTAACTACTCAGGAGGCTGAGATCTGAGGGTCATGATTCAAAGCCAGCCCAAGAAGACAAAGTCAAGACTTTGATCTCCAAATAACAAGCAAAAAACTGGAAGTGGAGGTGTGGCTTTAGTAGTAGAGTGCCAATAAAAAAAAAAATCTAAGGGACGATACACCAGGCCTTCAGTTCAAGCCCACAATTAATATCTTTTCTTCTTCTGTTTGTTGTCTGGGGCAAGCCTCAAACTTTTAATCCTACTAATTCAGCTTTGGTAATGTTGGGATTATACATAATGTTGGAATTATAAAGATACTATGCTTGGTTTTGTTTTTTTTCCAGTATTGTAGTTTGACTGGTATTATCCCACCAAACCATACCTCCATTCCTATTTTTCACTATTTGTAGGATAGGATCTTGGATGGCCTGAAATGGGATCTGCCTACTTTGATCACAGGTACACACCACATCTAGCCTCCCTTTGGGAAGGTGGGGCCTTGAATACCTTTTTCTTTCTTTCTTTTTTTTTTTTTGGGGTCCGGTCGTGGGGCCTGAACTCTAGGCCTGGGCCCTGTCCCTCAACTCTTCAGCTCAAGGCTAGCTCTCTACCAACTTGAGCCACAGTGCCACTTCCGGCTTTTTTCTTTTTGCTTATGTGGTGCTGAGGAATCGAACCCAGGGCCTCATGCATGCAAGGCAAGCACTCTACCACTGAGCCACCTTCCCAGCCTCTTGAATACCTTTTTCTCCAGGCTGCCCTGGCAGGATAATGCTCTTATTCCCAGCCTCCCGAGTGGTTTGGGATGACAGGTGCAAGCCATTGTATCCAGTTAAGGATAGAGAAGGCATCTTGCAAACTGGCTGACCCTGAGCTGTGATCTTCAAGTTGTTAGCCTAGGATTACAGGTGTGAGCCAGCCACTGGTGTTTTGTCATCTGTGGCTTAAAATTTTAACTATTTTTGTGGTACAGAAGTTTGAACTCAGTCTTGTGCTTGTTAGGCAGGTACTCTACCACTTGAGCCACGCCCCCAGTCCACTTGTGATTTTTTGTTGTTGTTGGTCACAGAACTTGAACTCAGGATGTGGGCACTGTCCCTGAGTTCTTTTGCTCAAGGCTAGTGCTCTATAACTTTGAACCACAGCACCACTTCTGGTTTTCTGCTGGTTAATTGGAAATGAATCTCACAAACTTTCCTGCCCTGGGTGGCTTTGAACTGTGAGCCTCAGGTCTCAGCCTCCTGAGTAGCTAGGATTACAGGCATGATCCACTAGCATCCAGCTCACCTGATTTTTTTCTTTTTCGTCAATTGTGAGGCTTCAACTCTGGACCTGTCCCTAAGCTCTTCAGCTCAGTACTCTACCACTAGAGCCACAGCGCCACTTCCAGTTTTATGGTGGTTTATTGGAGATAAGAGTCTCAAGGACTTTCCTGCCCGGCTGGCTTTGAACTGTGATCCTCAGATCTCAGCTTCCTTAATAGCTAGGATTACAGGCGTGAGCCACCAGTGCATGGCACTTCTGATTTTTGACATGGTCTATCTAGGTAACCCAGGCTGGCCTAAAAGTGGTAATCCTCCTGCCTCAGCCTCTTGAATGCTGAGATTATAGGTATGTGCCACCAGACTTGGCTATTGTTATCTTTAACTGAATTAGAGCTCCAAGACTGGAGTCTTATGTTCACTGTACAAAGCAGGCTGCTGCCTGTTTCTGGACAAGAGTTCTATGGGAACACAAGCATATTTACAAAACGTGTGTGGCTACTTTGGCTGCTTTGCTGAGTAGTTGAGACAAGTGACAAGAGTGAAGTATTATTTACTCTCTGGCCTTCACAGGACATCTGCCAATCCCATGCAAAGCCACAAGCAATGATGAAGTTTCTGTGCTCACTCATCAGATATGATTAGCTCCCAAGAAAATGATTAAGAAGTTTAAATTACAGCATTTTCTTGCTTGCTACCCCAAAAATCTTATATCCCATAGACCACAGGGATTAACAGATGTTTTATCTAAAAATGCTGCTCATGCCTTTTTATTATCTGATCACTTCCAAGCAAGTTTTTCAGTGTACTCTAAACTTATTTCATGTTACTTCAAAACACTCTTCTTACATTAAAAGATTTTACCTGGCCAGGCACCAGTGGTGGTAATCCTAGCTACTCAGGAGGCTGAGATCTGAGGATTGTGGCTCAAAGCCAGCCTGGGCAATTAAACACCAGAAAACTGGAAGTGGTGCTGTGGCTCAAGTGGTAGAGTACTAGCCTTAAGCTGAAGAGCTGAGGGACAGTGCCCAGGCCCAGAGTTCAGGCCCCACAAAGGACCCCCCCCCCAAAAAAAAAAAGGTTCTGCCTGAAGATAAGACTCTTTTCTTAATTTCGGCAAGCAACCAATATTATTTTCCTTTGCAGTGCCTTTTCAACTGCCTTAGTGAAACTACCAGGTTTCAATGTTGGCTCTGTCATTTTAATGAGGTTAATCAAAGTAATTTTATTTTTTTGTCGGTCATGGGGCCTTAACTCTGGCCTGAGCTCTGTCCCTCAGCTCTTCAGCTCAAGGCTAGCGCTCTACCACTTGAGCCACAGTGCCACATCTGGCTTTTTCTGCTGAGGAATCGAACCCAGGGCCTCATGCATGCAAGGCATACACTCTACCACTGAGCCACCTTCCCAGCCCCAATCAAAGTAATTTTAATCAACCTGTTCCTTATCACATCTTAAAGTGAGTATAAAGACAGATTCCAAGCCAGGCACCAGTGACTCACGCCTGTAATTCTAGCTACACAGGAGGCTGAAATCTGAAGATTGCGGTTTAAAGCCAGCCCAGGCAGAAACATCCATTAGACTCTTTCTCCCATTAACCACCAGAAACAGGAAGGGGCACTGTGGTTCAAGTGGTAGAGAGCTAGCCTTGAGCACAAAAAGGCTCAGGGACAGCGCCCATGCCCAGAGCTCAAGACTTAGGACAGACCAAAAAAAAAAAGATTCTAGGGGAAGAGGGACAGGGAGCAATAGGGAAGGTGAGGCTGACTGGGATAGTGTAAACATGTGGAAATGTAACAGTGAAAGCCCCCCCTCCCCATGTAACTAATGTAAGCTGATTAAAAACAAAACAAACACAAAGCTGGGGTTCAGTGGTTCATACCTATAATCCTAACTACTCATGGGATTTGAAATCTGAGATTATGGTCTGAAACCAGCCTGTGCAGAAATATCCCTGAGACACTTATCTTCAATTAAAGAGCAAAAAATCAGAAGTGGAGACATAGCTCTAGTGGTACAATGCTAACTTTGAGTTCAAGCCCCAGTACTGGCACACACAAAAACAACAACTCTCTCCCCCACAAACCAAAAGCTTCCACTTTAATTTAGCATGCTGCTATGACTACACAATTAGCTTGTATCTGTGTAGTATGTACAGGTACTGGGCACCAAGGAATCATCTGCTTTCCTCACTCCCCATCTGGATTTACCTTAACTCTCTTCTTACCATGAATTGTTGCATTTTCACTCTGGTGAAAATTGAACCACTTTACACCAAATGTGCTCGAAGATGGCAAAAGCTGTTCACACTGATCTAGTGACAAGGTGTGGGCTGACTTCCTTTTTCCTCTGTGTCTTCTACTAGATGACTTGGTGACAGGCCTCCGAGGGCAGTGGCTGTTTTCAGGGGATGCTGAGGGAGAGCAGACTTCACTTTGTGACAGAGGTTCCTGAGAAGGACCTGAACTTGACAGTCCTGAGCTTGTGTCTGACATGCTGATTTCATTTTGGTCAGCTTCACTAGAAAGCTTTACACTTTTAGTTGCTCCTTTTTCTTTATTTTTAAACCCTTTCTTTCTGACACCCAAGTGACTTTGAATCACAGCTTCCAGAGCTATTTTCCTCTGGCTGTCTGACATGCGACGTGTTGTTCTAACATAGTATTCTGCAGGAAACAGAAGGCCTTCAATCATTGTGCAAGAATGTGCTTGAATTTCTGTAGAAGCAGGAGAGCCTGGTTCCAGAGTAAGACTCTCAGACTGGCTTAGAGCCTCCTTTTCCTGAACAGTCTGATCTCTACTATCCAGAGTGTTACTAGGAGATTTTAAAGAGTTTCCAGTGTGATGACTTTGTTCTTTTAAGTCTTGGGTTATATTTGCTGCTGAGTTACTGTAAGCGAGTTCATTTCTACTACATGAATTGTCTGCCACTAAGTTAGGACTTCTAGGAAGTTGGCTGGGGGCACCAACAGTGTTATTTACTACTGGGTCATCTGTACAGATGGATATCTTTCTGCCTTGTGCCTGCAGGTCTAGGGGTGGAGAAGGACTAATGTTTTGAAATGCTGGAGCAGTAAGTTCCCCGTGACCTTCATGGGGCAAACAGTGTTGATGATGGCTGCTGTCTGATGTAAGATGCAAAGGAACTGTGGTCTCCTTGGAGATTTGACTTCCTCTTCCTGATTCAGCACTTGGTGGAATTACTATAATCTCTCCAGCAGCTTCAGTAGCTGGTGCTGAAGAGCCCAGAGTTTCAGGCTGAGGACTTGTGAGGTAACTTATTACTGTTTCTGATGAACAAGGATTTTTGCTATTGATTGTGTCCTGATTCCTAGTGCTTTTTCCAGAAGCAATGAATGAATTAGTGTCAAAGGAACACTCTGTCTCCTGAGAAGCAAACATTCTTTTGGGCTTCTTTTGTCTCTCCCCTGGCAGCTCATTCTGCCTGGTCTTCCCATCAAGGTCACTCACTTTATAGGGAAAATGTTCTTGGATGTCATCTGCATTTTGTATAAGCAATCCTTCTTCTGAGCCATCTTTAGGGTTAAAGGACTTAGGCTCAACAAAGGTCAGAGATGTCTTTTCTACAGTTTCTTTGGTAAGCTGCGTGTTGATTTGTAATCGGTCATGAAAATATCCTTCATTTTTAGGCTCTGAAGAAATACAAAAATATATCTCTCAGTCCCTAATGCTTATATGTAAGCATACACACAAACATACACATACACAAACACACATACAAGTACTTAGCTACTTTCAAAATGGAACAGAAACGTTTTATATTTGTTTAAAAATATTGTAAGGCTGGGAGTGCAGATCCAAGACAAAAACCTGCCTAATATGCTTGAAGCCCTGTCTTCTAGCATCACAATAATAAACAAACTACTGAACATTTACTTAAGAATAAAAAAATAAGGGCTGGAATGTGGCTTAGAGGTAGAGTGCTTGCCGAGCATGCATGAAGCCCTGAGTTTGATTCCTTAGGACCACATAAACAGAAAAGTGACGCTGAGACTCAAGTGGTAGAGTGCTAGCTAGCCTTGAGCAAAAGCAGCTCAGAGATAGTGCCCTAGCCCTGAGTTCAAGACCCAGGACTGGCAAAAAAAGTGAAACCAAAAATTAATGTTACAGAATTTTAAGTAAATGTAAGTCTATAAAAATTTTTTTTTGCCAGGCGCCGGTGGCTCATACCTGTAATCCTAGCCACTCAAGAGGCTGAGATCTGAGGATCGCGGTTCAAAGCCAGCCTGGGCAGGAAACTCCATGAGACTCTTACCTCCAATAAACCACTAGAAAACCGGAAGTGGCGCTGTGGCGCAAGTGGTAGAGTGCTGGCCTTGAGCTGAAGAGCTAAGGGATAGTGCCCAAGCCCAGAGTTCAAGCCCCACAACTGAGGGGGACGGGGGGGGGGGGGGGGGGGGGAAGAGCCTCACTGGGGACTTTTCAGATTCGGGTGGCTTTGAACTGCGATCCTCAGATCTGGGCCTCCAGGATTACAAGTATGCCTCACCAATACTTGGAGGCATCTTCTCTTAATTTCCTCCCCCCTTACTCCCCTGCCCTGCGCCTCAGTTCTGGAGCTTGAACTCAGGGCCTGGGCACCATTCCTGAGCTTCTTTTGCTCAAGGCTAGCACGCTACTACTTGAGCCACAGAGCCACTTTTCTGCTTATGTGGTACTGAGGAATTGAATCCAGGGCTTCATGCATGCTAGGCAATAATCTACCACTAAGCCACATTCCCAGCCCTCTTTATTTCTCTTTTTGAGACAACTCATTATATAGACCTGGCTGGCCAAGAAATTGTGATCCCTTTGCTTCAGCCTCCTGAGTACTGGGATTACAGGTGTACAGCTCCATGCTTGGCTCCTTAATTTTTTAGTCTTAACTAAAGTCCTTTGGTACTTAAGACTGAACACAGGAGCTTTTACAATGAGCTACATCCCCAACCTAATTTTTTATCTCACATTTTTTTTTCTCTCTGAAGTTTTGGGGATTGCAAGTGTTCTACCACTGAGCTGCACAACCACAGCTACAGCCCTTTGTTTTCCTCAGGTAATTTTTACAACATTTTCTCACTTAGCAGTCCTAATTGTATGATTGCAAATTACTTGAATTTTAACCCCAGAAATGACCTGTTGTTTTGGTGCCAAAGATGGAATCCAGAGCCTTGTTCCTGCTAGGCAAGGGTTTTGCCACTGACCAACACAATGCACATCCCTAATTTCAGAATATTTGTAGTATTCACTGTATATGCACATTCATATTAAGAAAAAAATCTTTCTAGTATTTAAACATTAAGTATAATTCTTAAAATTTGAGGAGCAACTAAATAAACAACTCAGTTGAGAGTGATTTTTGATCACAAAACTAGAGATAATTGTTAACAAATCATATATTCTCTAAGACTCTAGTACCTAGATATTACTAAGTACACTCACAATTCAACAGTTAAAACACAATCAAATGGACAAAGGATATGAACAGACATTTTCCTAAAGATTCACATGTGATACATGAAGAGATTTTTAACATTACTAGTTAACTAAGAAATACAATAAGGGGCTGGGAAGGCAGCTCAATGGTAGAGTGCTTGCCTTGCATGCATGAGGCCCTGGGTTTGAATCCTCAGCACCACATAAGCAGAAAAAGCTGGAAGTGGTGCTGTGGCTAAGTGATAGAGCGCTAGTCTTGAGCTGAAGAGCTGAGGGACAGCGCCCAGGCCCAGAGTTCAGGCCCCACGACTGGCAAAAAAAAAAACCAAAAACCAAAAAAAAACAATGAAAACCATAATTAGAAACCAACGTTCACTAGGATGGCTATCCTTCTTTTGTATGTTTAGTTTTGGTGCAGTACTAGGACTTGAATTCAGGGATTAGGGGCTATCCCTTAGCTTTTTTGCTCAAGTGTTCTACCACTGGAGCCACAGCTCCACTTCTAGCTTTTTACCAGTTAAAAGGTAAGAGGTAAGAATTTCACAGACTTTTCCATGAGATTCTATGAAGCTCAGGCTCGCTTTGAACTGAAAATCTCAGATTTTAAGTCTCCTGAGTAGCTACAATTACAGGCATAAGCCACTGATGCCCAGAAAGGTAGCTATACCTTTAAAAAAAAAAAAAGGCTGGAGGTATAGCTCAGTGGTAAAGGGATTGGCTTTTTTTTTGTCAGTCGTGCTGAATGAGAATATGAAGCCTAAGTTCAAGCCCTGGTACGTACGTATGTACAGTAGGTACGTACGTATATACACACACGCACACGCACGCACACAAATATGCAAAAGGTAAATTATAAGTGTTAATGAGGGTATGGAGAAGCTAGAACATTATGGATCACTGCTGGGAATGTAAAATGGTATAGCTTGTGTGGTAAACAATTTGACAGTTTCTCAATATTAAACCAGCCATGAGAGGCTAAGACAATGACTGAGAAAGTTTGAGGCAATTCTGGGCTATCACAACACACAACAATAACAAAACACACAAAAGCCAAAAAAAACAGAATAACTGTATGACCCAGTAAATCTACTTTTAGGATTAGTCGTAAAGAATCAAAAATACAAAAAACAAAGCTGGGTCCCGGTGCTAGTGGTTCACACCTGTAATCCTAGCTACTCAGGAGGCTATGATCTGTGAATTGTATTTTAAAGCCAGCCCTGGTAGGAAAGTCCATGAGAATCTTATCTCCAATTCACCACCAGAAAACAAGTGGAGCTGTGGTTCAAAGTGGTAGAGCCCTAGCCTTGAGCTTGAAAGAGCTCAGTGATAGTGCCCAGGCCCTGAGTTCAAGCCCCACAACCAACAAAAAAACCAAAAACCAAAAAACAAAGCTGCCGGGTGCTGGTGGGTCACACCTGCAATCCTAGCTTCTCAGGAGGCTGAGATCTGAGGATCGCAGTTCAAAGCCAGCCAAGTCAGGAAAGTGCATAAGACTCTCATGTCCAATAAGCCACTGTGGCTCAAGTGGTAGAGTGCTAGCCTTGAGCTGAAGAGCTGAGGGACAGTGCCCAGGCTCAGAATTCAAGCCCCACAATCGACAAAAAACAACAACAACAACAAAAAAAAAACCACCAAAAACACAAAGCTAGGAACCAGTGGTTCTCACCTATAATTCTAGCTACTCAGGAGGCTGAGATCTAAGAATCAAGATGAAAACCAGCCCAGACAGATAGCTGGAAGTGGAGGGGCAGTTCAAGAATGCCAGGCTTGCGCAAAAATGCCAGACAGGAGCATAAGACCCTGGGTTCAAGCTCAAGTACCAGTTTAAAAAAAAATCTTTTTAGGGCTGGGAAGGTGGCTCAGTGGTAGAGTGCTTGCCGTGCATACATGAGGCCCTGGTTCGATTCCTCAGCACCACATAAGCAGAAAAAGCCAGAAGTGGCACTATGGTTCGAGTGGTAGAGCACTAGCCTTGAACTGAAGAGCTGAGGGACAGTGCCCAGGCCCAGAGTTCAGGCCCTATGACTAGCCAAAAAAAAATTTGTTTTTTCTAATAGAAAATATACATATCCAGAAAAGTCTGAGAAATGTGTATATGGATGTTCATATAGCATTATTCATTAGTCAAAAAGTGGTATTAGGCTTGCTTGAATTTTATAAGGCATGAAGTTCACATCAATTACAAAGTCTACTATTCCTAGAACAGGGGCCTCAGGCACCTGGAGACTAAACACTAAAGTCAGTCTGAGCAGGCAGGTTAGGTTTACCTGAATGCATTGATTGTGATGTGATTCGCTGTTCTGGAAAGCCATCTTGTCTTGCTGTTTTCTTAACAGAATTCTTAATCTTCTCAGCTCTTTGGGCACGCTACAGAAAACCAAGGATATGCAAGAAATACATTTATTTTTCCTCCCTTTTTTCTGTCTTGTCTTTTTTTTTTCTGTTTTGTGGTGCTGGATCTTGTGCATGTTAAACAACTGCTCTACCAATAAGCATATATAGCCCCAACTCCATGAACTGTTTTTAAAGCTATCTTGTCTACAAATCTTTTTTTTTTTTTGTTCCAGTACTGAGGCTTGAGCTCGGGGCCTCGGCATTACCTCTTAGCTTTTTTCACTCAAGGATGGCACTCTATCACTTAAGTCACAGCTCCACTTATGGCTTTTTGGTAGTTAAGTGGAACTGAGAGCCTCACAGACTTTTCTGCCCAGGCTAGCTTAAAACCATGTTTCTCAGATCTCACCTCCTGAGTAGTTAGAATTATAGGGGTAAAGCAGGGCACTGGTTGCTCATGCCCATAATGCTAACTACTCAGAAGGCTGACATCTGAGGATCACCATTTGAAAAGTCTGCGAGACTCTTCTCTCTAATAAACTACTCAGAAAAAGCCGGAAGTTGGCGCTGTGGCTCCAGTGGTAGAACACTAGCCTTGAGTATAAAGAGGCTCAGGGATAGCGCCCAGGCCCTAAGTTCAAGCCTCAGAACCGGCAGAAAAGAAAAAAAAAATTAGAGGCATGAGCCACTGGTGCCTGATCAGAAATGTTTTTATATAGTTTGCACATCACCTTTGAAAAGATGATTCACCTACCTGGAGGCGGGCCAGAGTCCTCCTGTATTCCTTTTTCAAAAGTGCAAGTTTTTCCTCCAGCTGAAAGAAAAACAGCAAGAATATTTAACTGTGAAAAGCTGGAATCAGGGACAGAAAACAGGTATCAGACCTGAGTATGCTGTTCCAGAACCAGAGGCAAGACTGAGAGTGGTGAGGAGGAGGCACTGACCTATACAAACTCACTCTTGGTGCTCAAAAAGCAAGTTTTCCTCTCAGGAACTTGGCGTAAACTGTTCCTGTACTTGGAGCACTTCCTACCTTGCCAATTCTTGAGACCCTCTAAGCCTCACCTCAGGATTTTTGTGGGTGTATGCCAGTTCTGAGTTTTGAACTCAAGGCTTGGGTACTGTCCCAGGTGGTTAACTAGAGGTAAGAGTCCCATGAACTTTCCTTTCTGGCTGGCTTTGAACCTTAATCCTCAGATCTCAGCCTCTTGAGTAGCTAAGATTACAAGGCATGAGCCACCAGCACCTCATCTTAGATCTTTATGTTCCGGAGGTAGACTTCAAGACTCTTCTCCAAGTCCACATTAGACACTCCCGCCCTCCTGTGTAATCTCCTGATCCCAGCATTTACCATACAGTACTGTGTTGTCTGCTTTTCCCCATCACTCACTGTGAGACCCTAACTCAGCCAACAAACATCTTGCGGGTCAATGGTGCAGACATCTCAAAACTTGGGACAGTAACTGATGCTCACTGGGGGTGTGTAGATGCTAAAGACACTGAATGGCTACCACAAATTACATACAGAGAAGCCTACAGATAGGAAACAGATAAGCCTATTCCTAAAGCTGAGATCTGAGGATAAAGAGTCAAAGCTAGCTCGGGCAGAAAAGTCTGTTAAGACTTTTTTTTTTTTTTTTAATCTCCAATTAACTACCAAAAAGCCCGAGCCGGAGGCGTGACTCAAATGGTGATGTGCTAACCTGAAGCAAATAAGCGTCACAAAACAAAAACCAAGGTTTTGAGGGGTTTCCTCAAGACTGGGGGCTCCGGGAAAGCGCGTCAGGATCTTCACCTTGTCTACAAAGTTCTACACTTGGTACTTCTGCATTGCAACTGTAAACTACACGAGGCTAATTTTGTTTGGCAAACGCCATCTCACTGGCCCTGCGCCTCTGGCACACGCGCACTGCCGGTGCCCCGCGGCCCTCAGAGGACGGTCGGCCGCAGGCACTGCTGCCCTCGGGCCGCTGAGGAGACAAGGCCCAGCCGGAAGTCCCCCGGAAGGGGATTCGGGTCCCGCGCCGGCCCACCCGGAGCACCTGTTCCTTCTCCGCACAGCTCAGCGACTTCCCGGGAACCTGATCCATGGGGTTGCAGGCCGAACTCCAGCTCCCAGGCCTGCGGACCCCGCGTGCGCCCCGCACGCACCCCGTCAGGGAAGCGGGCGACCCAGAGCAGGTCCTCGCAGCGCACAACAAGCCGGCCCACGCCGGCCCAGCGCGCCAAAAAGCCCTCAGCCAATCAAAGCCTCCGCTGGGTCTGCGTAGGCACAGCCGGGGGATCGCCGAGTACCGGCGCAGGGCCGTATAGAGGAAAGCCGAGCGATCGATGGGAGCGGAAGTGAAGGAACAGCCGGAAGTAGCCGGAATCTCAGCGACCCAGGTGTTGACAGCATCCCCCGGTGCTGAGAGGCTGGGGCAGCGGCCATGGAGCTGAGTGAGCAGCTCTACAACAAGTCAGAATACATCGAGACGGTACCGGAGAGCCCTGCCCTGCCCTGGCGGAGTCTGCGGCCTTTCGAGGCCTGGCGGGAACCCCACCCTGTCCCCTCCCCACCCTTCCCGGGGTCCCCCCCACGCGTGGTCCGGGTAGCCTAGAGCCCCGTGGGGCGTCCGAGGTTGTTGTTTAGTCGCTGGCGGATGAGGTCTGGCTTTTTGTGTCGGTTCCGGATGTTTGTGCTGGAATGAAATGCTGTCCCACTAGTGATGATAACTTCAGGCCCTTTTAAAACTATCTTTTAAGTTTTTTGTGCTCTTTTAGCATATATATGTGCATATATATGTGTGTGATACGTTGTTACTATAATATATAAACACGTAATATGTAAACAATATCTAAAACATTACATATGTGTATGTAATATGTGTAATGTTCCTTGTGTATACATGTATTTATACTATAGTTGTACATAAGCTACTACATATATAGTATATGTAGCAAATGAAATTGTCTACTTATATATATGTAATTATGAGTATATGTATGTTATGTATATACTATATAGCATACATATTCATAGTTGTACATAATGTAATTATATATATCATATATGTAGTGGTATGTCTACTGCATGCAGTATTTATATACATATATACAGATATGCTATGTAATACTATATAGCATACATTCATAGTTATACATGCTCTATATAATTATGTATATTACACATGTAGTAGTATATATACATGCACATACTGTATATAATATTATAGTCCACATAGTATATGTGTAAAATTCTGCAAATAGCGGTGCCAATGGCTCATGTCTGTAAGATACTCAGGAAGCTGAGATCTGAGGATTGTGGTTTGAAGCCAGCCCAAGCAGGAAAGCACATGAGACTCTTTTCTCCAATTAATTACCAAAAAGTGGCACTGTGGCTCAGGTGGCACAGCACCAGCCTTGAGTGAAAAAGCTAAGGGAGGGCACCCTGGTCCTTAGTTCAAGCTCCAGGACTGGCACATAAACACACACAAAATCAGGAAGCCGAGTAAGTGTACATTTGAGGTTATTTTTTTTCTGTTGTAATCTCACAACACATAATATTAAAGTTGTTACCCTCATTCTAGGGATGTAAAACAGGATGGAACCAGGATTTGAATCTTTCTTTCTATCTGATGCCACTAAGCTATAGGCCTGCCACATACAAATTCGGGATCCCATTCCCTGAATTTTTGTTTCATTCCGTTGTTCTGTTGTTTTTGTTTGCTAGTATCAAATTTTGAATTCAAGGCTTCACCTGGTACTTGCTGTGATGTTCTATCACTGGAGCCATGCTTGCAAAGCCCTGCTTTTTTTGCAGATTGTTTTGGAGATAGAATGTAGTAGTGAACTTTTTTGCCTAGCTTGTCCTAGAACTAAGATTCTCCACATCTCAGTCTTCTGAGTTACTAGGATTACAGGCTTCACTCACTTGCACCAGCCTATCGCTAATTTTTTTTTTTGCCAGTCCTGGGGCCTGAATTCAGGACCTGGGTACTGTCCCTGAGCTTCTTTTGCTCAAGGCTAGCACTCTACCACTTGAGCAACACACAGCACCACTTCTGGCTTTTTCTGCTTATGTGGTGTACTGAGGAATCAAACCCAGGGCTTCATGCATGCTAGGCAAGCACTCTAGCACTAAGTCACATTCCCAGCCCTGATCTTTAATTTCCTAATCCATCCTTGCTTTTTTGAGATCCTGGATTCATTCCAATTTACTCTGCATGTGTGCTTCTGTGTGCACTGTGTATGCATGCATGTTAAGGAAGCACTCTACCACTGGATAATGTGTATGTTGGTACTGAGGCTTAAACTCAGGGCCTCTTATTGCTTGGCTTTTTTCTCAAGGCTGACCCTCTACCAGCTGAGCTACGTGTCCACTACCATATTTTTGTTACTTAATTAGAGATGCTTCTCACAGAGTTTTGTTTTTGTTTTTTGGCCAGGAATTGCTTTGAATTGTGATCTCCAGACCTCAGCTTCCTAAGTAGCTAGGATTTACAGGTGTGAGTTACCAATACCCAGCCTTATTCCATTTTAGACTATATTCCATGTCGAATTATTTCCTTTCCAGTATGAGCTTACTTGGTGGAAAACTATAGCCCACTTTGCTCACCCCAGTTTTCTGTTTCCTTTCAGGCCTCTGGAAATAAAGTGAGTCGCCAGTCAGTGTTGTGTGGAAGCCAGAATATTGTTCTTAACGGCAAGGTAAGGGACAAAGCCAGCTTCAGGACTCAAAGCTCTGCTTGCTTTTCACCAATTATCACATTCAATGGATAGACAAAATGTCATCCTGTCTCCTGTTTATTGTTGTGTATTTTCAATTCTCTTTTTTCTCTTCTCCAAATTTTTAATATGTGTGGTTATGACATTTGTCTATGTGTATAGTACTTCTGTCATATTCAATCACTTTTGGGCCTCTTTCCCCTCCTACTGTTGCAATATGAAGAGTCTCCACTAATTCCACTGTACCAGGAGAATTTAGGGATTTTCTTTTTTCTTTCTTTTCTTTTTTTTGGGGGGTGGGGTGGGGGTGGTAGTTCTAGGGCTTGAACTCAGGGTCTGGGCACTGTTCCTGGGCTTCTGTGCTCAAGGCTAGTGCTTTACCACTTTGAGCCATAAGCACCATTTCTAGCTTTTTGATAGTTAATTGGAGATATGAGTTGCACAGACTTTCCTGCCGGGGATGGCTTTGACTGTAATCCTCAGAGCTCAGCCTCCTAAGTAGCTAGGATTATAGGCATGAGACACCAATTCCAGGCTATACTAGAATTTAACAGGAAAGAAAGTGCTTGTGGTAGTAGAGTACCAGCCTAGTATGCTTGAGGCCCTGAGGTTGAATCCTAGTTCCACTCAAAATAAGAAGAAATACTCAGTAGTTGCTCAGACCCACCATTTCTGTATTTATTTTTATTTATTTATTTTTTTTTTTATTTATTTGTTTAGTCAGCTATTGGGCCTGAACTCTTGGCCTGGGCACTGTCCCTCAGCTCTTTAGCTCAAGGCTAGAGCTCTACAATTTAAGTCACAGCACCACTTCCAGCTTTTTCTGCTTATGTGGTGCTGAAGAATGGAACCCAGGATCTCATGCATGCAAGGCAAGCGCTCTACCCCTGAGCCACTTTTCTACCCCCAACCCCGCCATTTCTGTATTTAATTACAAAATTCAACTATTTCTATCTTTCTCATAAGTAAGAGAAGGTTTTTGAAAATACCTTAGCTAATTCTTAGGCACTTTCCATGACTGTAAGGAAGACTTTTTCTGATGATGAAATCTGTGTAAATATAGTTGCTTTGGCAAAAGTGACCATAGCTCTATTGTAACTATTTCAGAGTATACAATTAAATGTCATTATTAATGGTCTCACATTGGGCACTGGTGGCTCATGCGTGTAATCCAAGCTACTCAGGAGGCTGAGATCTGAGAATCACAGTTCAAAGCCAGCCTGGAGAGGAAAGCTGGAGAGACTCTTTTTTTTTTTTTGGTCGGCCGTGGGGCTTGAACTCTGGGCCTGGGCGCTGTCCCTCAGCTCTTCAGCTCAAGGCGAGCGCTCTACCACTTGAGCTACAGCGCCACTTCCGGTTTTTTCGTGATTTATTGGAGATAGGAGTCTTACGGTCTCTCCTGCCCGGGCTGGCTTTGAACCGCAATTCTCAGATCTCAGCCTCCTGAGTAGCTAGGATTACAGGCGTGAGCCACCAGCGCCCAGCTTGGAGAGACTCTTTATCTCCAATTAACCACAAGAAAACTGAAAGTGGAGTTGTGACTCAAAGTTGTAGAGTGCTAGACTTGAGCAAAAAAACTTAGGGACAGCACCCAGGCCCTAAGTTCAAGCCCCACAACTGACAAAAAAATAAATAGTAGTAGTATTCATCACAACTTCTTTCCAAAACTTTATTACCCTACATAGAAACTTAGCACCCATGAAGGAATAATTCTCAGATTTGCTCTTTTCTTCTTAGTCTTTGGTAGCCTCAATCTATTCCATCTCTTCCTTCCCGTGTGTGTGTGTGTGTGTGTGTGTGTGTGTGTGTGTGTGTGTGTGTGTGTGTGTGTGTGTGTGTGTGTGTGTGTGTGTGTGTGTGTGTGTGTGTGTGTGTGTGTGTGTGTGTGTGTACGCATGTGCATGTGCCAGCCATAAGCTTGAACTCAGGGCCTGGGTGCTATCTCTGAGCTTTTGTACTCAAATCTAGATCTACTATTTGAGTCATAGCTCCATTTTCAGTTTTTTGGTGCATAATTGGAGATAAAGAGTCTCATGGACTTTCCTGCCCTGGCTGGCTTGGAACTTCAATCCTCAGATCTCGACTTCCTGAGTAGCTAGGATTACAAGCATGAGCAACTTCTGGCTTTTTGTTGTCTAATTGACAATAAAAGTCTCATGGACTTTGCTTCCTGGGCTGGCTTTGAACTGAGATTCTTCCATCTCAACCTCCTAAGTAGCTAGAATTACAAGCATAAACCACTGGAACTCAGTTTTTGTTTTTGTTTTTTAATGTTGGTCCTGAGGGATAAACTAGGGTCCAGGCACATTCTCTGAGCTTTTGTTCTCAATGCTAACACTTGAGCCACAACTCCATTTCCAGCTTTTTTTGGTGGTTAACTGGATAAGAGTCTCATGGACTTTCCTATTCAGGCTGGCTTCCAACCATGATCTTCGGATTACAGGCATGAGCCATCAGTGCTAGGCTCAGAATTTTTTTTAACCTCATTTCCTTATTTAGTAGACATTTTGTGAATGCCAAGTGCAGGGCACTAACCTCCCTAGATTTCAAGATGGGTTACTGAAGCCGGGCACTGGTGGCTCACACCTGTAATCCTAGTTACTCAGAAGGCTGAGATCTGAGGATCATGGTTCAAAGCCAGCCTGGGCAGCAAAGTCCATGAGACTCTTATCTCCAACGATCCACCAGAAAACTGGAAGTGGCACTGTGGCTCAAGTGGTAAAGTGGTAGCCTTGAGCTGAAGAGCTCAGGGACAGCGCCCAGGTCTGGAATTCAAGCCCCAGGAACGACGGAAAAAAAAAAAAGTTACTGAGCCCCTTCAGGCAGTCTCTGGAGAAAGCTGCAGTAGAGTAGGTGATCTCTGTCCCAAAGCTAGGGGATGAAGCACAACTTTAATGGGTCCATTGGTGGGAACATACAGATTGAGAGAATCAGGAATTTGAGGAGAAATGGAAAAGTAGGAGCTGCTGGGATAGTCACTGGAAGAGTACTCCAGACCTGGGGGTGAAGGTGGACCTGAATGAATCAACAAAGACATATAAACTAAGTCTGCTGTAGGAATTCTCAATAAACAATTGCTTATTCAAATTCAGTGAGTCCTATTTATGAGTATAAAGGGCAGAGGGCATGGTTCAAGTGGTAGTGCCCTAGGCCCTGGCTTCAGTCCCCACTACTGAACATACCCATACACACACACGCACGCACGCACGCACGCACGCACGCACACACACACACAGTATATGGGACCATCTCCAGTGGCAGTCTGCAGGCAATGTGGAGGGCAGTGCTCCCTCCTCACAAGTTAGCCCTTTTGACAGAACATTTGGTATAGTGGATCCTAACATAACTGTCATCAGTGTCCTGTGGTATATCACTTTGTCATGCTTTCAGCTGTGCTGGTGACTTTGAATATCTGCTTTGTTTTGTAGACCATCATCATGAATGACTGTATTATCCGAGGAGATCTGGCAAATGTAAGAGTTGGACGCCACTGCGTGGTGAAAAGTCGTAGTGTCATAAGGCCACCATTCAAGAAGTTCAGCAAAGGGTATGTAACTCAATAGTCTTCCTGTCCTGGGACAGGTGTTGCTACCTACAACTTTGTAGAAAGGTTGAATTGTGTTCTGAGTAGGTCTATCCTGTTATCTGAGGGTTGAGTAAGAGTTCACCATAATGAACGGAGCTCTGATGGCGGTTATCTTAATCTGGCTGATGCTTGGTAGATTGAGTCTGCCCAAGCTGGCAAGAGCAATGAGGTTTGATTTACCACATGTAGTCATATTTGTATTGAAGAGCCAGGCACCAGTGACTCACCCCTATAATCCTAGCTATTCAGTGGGTTCAGATCTAAGGATCTTGGTTTGAAGTCAGCAAAGGCAGTAAGGTCTTTGAAACTTTTATCTCCAATTAACTGCCAAATAACTGGGAGTAGAACTGTGGCTCAAGTGGTAGAGCTCTAGCTTGGAGCATAAAAGCTCAGGAACAGTGCCCTGGCCCTGAGTTCTAGCCCCAAGACCAGCATTAAAAAAAAAAAAAGGATAATTTTTCATTTAAAATTACAATACTAGGGTTGGGATGGTGGCTTAGTGGTAGAGTGCTTGTCTAGCATGCATGAAGCCCTGTGTTTGATTCCTCAGTACCACATAAACAGAAAAAGCCAGAAGTGGGCACTGTGACTAAAGTGGTAGAGTGCTTGCATTGAGCTGAAGAGCTCAGGGACAGCGCCCAGGCCCAGAGTTCAGGCCCCGCGACCGACCAAAAAAAAAAAAAGTTTAATACTATCTCCAGGCATGGTGGTACATGCCTGGAATCCTAGCATTCAGGAAGCCAAGGTAGCAGGGTCACAAGTTCCAGGCGAGTGTGGGCTACATAGCAAGACCCTGATTCAAAATGATTAAAAACAAGAATATCAGTATTACTATTGAGTATGATTCCATCAAAGAATCCATTGTTGCACAAGGAGGAGAGACTAAAAATAGGACTAGATTAATAACAAAGATGTAAGTAAATCTTGAGTCATGAAGACAAATGTTTTGATGAAAACAAGAAAGTACCAGTGAGCAAATGACTACTTTATGTGAGTGCTAGTCCAGAAACCTAAAATGTAATGTAATAAGTATGGTCAGTGGCATTGGAGGAATGTGAGAGAATGCGGTCTTCCCCCATCCTCTCCTCACCTTCTTCCTCCTCCTCCTCTTCCTCTTCCTCTTGCTCTCCTTCTTCTTTTCCTTTTCCCTCTCTCCTTCCCTTTCTCCCTCTCTTTTCCCAGGGTTTGAACTAAGGACCTAGATGCTGTCCCTGAACTTTTCTGCTCAAGGCTAATGCTCTACAACTTGAGCTATACCTCCACTTCCCAGCATTTTTGGTAGTTAATTGGAAAGAAGAGTCTCACAGACTTTCCTGTCCAGGCTGGCTTTGAACCACAGTCTTTGGATCTCAGCCTCCTGAGTAGCTAGGATGACAGGTGTGAACCATAGGCATCCAGCATGGTTTTTCTCTTGATTGTACTTCTCTGGGACAGTGTATCCCTTACATGGACTGTGGCACTTAGTAGGTACACTGTAAATACAGTGAATGAATAAAGTTGAAGGATAGTGGGTACTGGAAATTGTAGCCCATGAGCTTTTTGTTGAGATTATAATCTGTGGCTTTAGAATCCTTGACCTAAAGCTCATCACCTTGATCTTTCATTGTTCATCTTCTTTTCCTTCTCTAGTGTTGCATTCTTTCCTTTACATATCGGGGACCATGTCTTTATTGAGGAAGACTGTGTGGTCAACGCCGCTCAGATTGGTTCTTATGTTCACGTGGGCAAGAACTGTGTGATTGTGAGTATGGTGACTTGGCTACCTAAGCAGCCTCATTCCCCTCCCCTCCATGCCTTGGGAGGACAGGGCAGGAGTAATGCCTTCCGAGGATGTGTCTTCTTACTAGATATGCAGTGTTTTCTTGGTGTTAATTATTATGCCATCCAGGTGCTTGTGGCTTATGTCTGCAATCCTGACTACTTAGGAGGCTGAGATCTGAGGGTCACAGTTAGAAACCAGCTTGGGGAGAGACTCTGAGATTTTTTTTTTTTTTTTACTTATTTTATTGGTCTTGGGGCCTGGGCACTGTCCCTGAGCTATTTTGCACAAGACTAGCACTCTACCACTTGGAGGCACTTGTGGTTTTCTGGTGGTTCATTGGAGATAAGAGTCTCACAGATTTTCCTGCCCAGGTTGGCTTTGAACCATGATCCTGAGATCTCAGCCTCCTGGATAGCTAGGATTGAAGTAGTGAGCCACTAGTGCCCAGCTGTGAGATTCTTATCTCAAGTTAACCACCAAAAAGCTGGAAGTGGAGGTATGGCTCAAGTGGTAGGGTGCTAGCCTTGAATAAAAAAAAAAAAGTTGAGACAGGTCCAGGCCCTGAGTTCAAGTCCTAGGACTGGCTCAAAAAAAATTTTTTTTAATACATAAAATGGCTGGTTAAGCTTTTTCCTTTAATGACTTGATTTAATCCTTACAACCCTGCCAGGCATTAGGTTCTCTCACATTGTCCCTGTTTGCAGATGAGAAGACTGAAACCATATATGTAGAAGGACTTGAAAAAAAAAACTAGTGAGGAGCCAGGTGCTAGTGGCTCACACCTGTGATCCTAACTACTCAGGAGGCTGAGATCTGAGGATCTCGGTTCAAAGCCAGCCTGGGCAAGAAAGTCCATGAGATTCTTATCTCCAATAAACTACTCAGAAAATGCTAGAAATGGTGCTGTCCCTCAAGTGGTAGAGTGCTAACCTTGAGCAAAAGAGACTCAGGGACAGTGCTGAGGCCCTGAGTTCAAGACCCAGGACCAGCAAAAAAAAAAAAAAAGAAAGAAAAAGCTAGTAAGGAGTAGAGCCAGGATTTAACCTACACACTTTTGAGTAGCTCCATGGGCCACTTGTTGTTTTCCTTCAGAGAGTGTGGGTCTGGAGGCAAGTCAATGTTGGCACATTAAATGAGAGGAGCTTGAGCGTTCCGGGGAAGGGATTGGCAGGTGAATGTCAGAGACACCAGTGGTCATCCTGTCAGGATAGTAGAGGGCCCGGATACACCCATAGCAACACCCCTAGGGCCTGGTACATAAGCATGTAGGCCTCCATTCTTTCTTGGATTTCTTGCTGGTCCTAGGCAAAGAGCTTTATTTCTACTGGGGTTTCTCAGAATCCTAGGAGAGCTGATCTATAGTGTTTAGGGAAAACATTTCAGCTCTATGAAGCCAAAATCAAGCTCATGTTTCTTCAATGGTCACCCCATAAATGCAGATCCAGCTCTCTTGCTCCATATAAGACTCAGACTCTAAAGTAGCAAAACCCTGCAGAAGCCATGCAGTGGATGTTCCTAGAGCCAGCAGGGCACAGCAAAGGTGGACAGCACTGGCGAATCCCAGCTCAGAGAAAACCATTCCATTGCCACTATAATGGCTAGGTTTCCTTTCCTGTGTTAAGCTTTTTCCTTCAGTCACTTGCTTCTCAGTATGGTCATTGTGCAGACATCTCAGAGGAACCCTGTAATATGTGTGCAGACAGAATGTTTAGGAGAAGATGAAAAGTTGATGGGAGAAGACTAGAGATGATGGCAGGAAGGGAAAGAGGAAGGGGCTAGCCAGCAGAGGGTGTTGACAGAGTAGATAATGCACAGCACGATGGAATGTAGAGCCAGAAGTAGAACCTGATTTCATGCTCATCAGGCTCCAGGGGTCATAAGAACAAATCTTCATCCCTGTTCTTTCCACTTGGGTTTGACGGTCATGGAAGGAAGGAAGATGGCTGCTTCAGACACTTTCTGTCCTCTGGAAGCCCCAGGGGAGATGCTGCTTTTCCCAGCAGTCCCAGTGGGACCTGTGGCTGCGGTTCACTAGACTTAGTTGATTCACACACCAGTTTCTAAAGCAGTCATCATGATCAGGCTCAGCTTTTGGGGGGCGGAGGGGAAGGACAGTGCAGAGCAAATGGGCTGGAGATTAGACTGAGGTAGCTCCCAAGGAAAGTGAAGGTTCTGTGGCGAGAAGGAAGAGGAGCAAAACAGATGATTAAACTGAGTACTTGCAAGACCAAAGCTTACATCATCTCCAGTGCCTAAGATAACCTGTAGTGTCCCTAGCATACAAACCTTCCCCCCAAAATGCACTGGTGTGCATGGGGGTACACACATCACACCCCCACACTCCTCTCTCAGCCTCATCAGGTTCCACCCAAAGCAAGTAATTGAGACCAAACCTCTTGTCACTGTCCCTGGCTATGATGTAATATCCAAAATGGAGAAAACAGAGAATAGCTTGCACATGAGAAAACCTTTACTCCCAGTCCTGATGTGTTTCCTTTAATAATACTTGGATTTCAGGGGCGCCGGTGTGTGTTGAAAGACTGCTGCAAAATTCTTGACAACACAGTATTGCCTCCAGAAACCGTGGTCCCACCCTTCACCGTCTTCTCAGGATGCCCAGGTAACCTTGGCTTGGTTGCTTTTATTTCAGCCTCCTTAAAACTCAATTTTATTTTCCATCACAAAAGTAATGCATGCTGGCTAGGAATGTGGCTTAGTGGTAGAGTGCTTGCCTAGCATGAATGAAGCCCTGGGTTCAATTCCTCCATACCACATACCCAGAAAAAGCTGGAAGCGACACTGTGGCTAAAGTGGTAGAGCTCTAGCCTAGAGCTCAGGGACAGAGCCCAGACCCTGAGTTCAGGCCCCAGGGCCAGGCCAAAAAAAAAAAAAAAAAAATAATGCATGCAACTCCCATCTCTGATCATGAACTTAAGAGTTCATTAACTCACCAGTTACAAAGTGCTTTGGAATGCTATTTGAACTAGGACAAGTTTCTTTTTTAAATGTATAACTGGCTTCTCAAGAAAATAAAGAACTTATTAAGAGGAAAGTAAAACCAAGTGCAGAGCTGTCATAGCTAGAGATGAAGCCTTGCTAGCTGCCCACGGCAGAGACCCTCAAAACACCCCAAAAGGGCTTTCCCTCAAGAAAAGTTTGATGCAGAACCTATATGCCAGCAAGCAAGAAGAAGCATCTCTCACTGGCCTGGCCTCTGGTAGAAAAAAGACAAGTTGTCTTTAGAGAATTCATGCTGTGTTTTCTTATCTTGGTTGCATATTTGAATCTATATCTCCAGGACAGCCAGGAATCCCCAAACTGAAATATCAGAATAAAACATGGTCTAACGCTAAGATGCCCTGAGCATGACCTCATCCCGTGCTGACAGGGGGTTCCCCCTAGTGGAACCCCTTGTGAACTGAATTCCAAATTACAAAGTCATGGGTGCTCCTCCCAGAAGACATAGAAAACATGGGAAAGCATTATGGAGGACACTCCCATTTCCCAGCCCCACCCAGGCTGGTCTTTTTCCTCCTGGTTATTTTACACAGTTGACATATTGCATCTACAAGACACATTGTGAATTCCCAGATGGAACATGATTGGAAGAGGGAGTATGTGGCACCTACCACAGGGAGCATTGTTTTTCTTTCTTTTTTGTTTTTGTGCAGATGCTGAGGTTTGGTCTCAAGATCTGCGTACTCTCCCTGATCCTCTTTACCTCAAGGCTTTAGTAGTGCTGTATCACTTGAGCCACAGCTGCACTTTGGCTTTTTGGTGGTTCATTGGAGATAAGAGTCTCATGACCTTTTCTGACCAGGCTGGCTTCAGACCTCAGATCTCAGCCTCTTCTGAGTAGCTAGAATTGCAGGCATAAGCCTGTAATGAGCCTGGCTCATTGTTTGTTCATTTGTTTGTTTGTTTTTTAACTTAAATGTTTCATCACTCAGCTCATTAAATAGCAATTTCCAAGATGTACAGATTCTTTGGGGAGCCAGTTGGCCATTCTGCTGTCTCTTCCATATGCTTTTGCAAAGGAGGAAGAAATGCTTTTGTTTTTCTATTCTCTCCATATTGAGATTTCACTGTGAAAAACTTTAGCGGTTCTTAGCAAGTAATGGACCAGAACAGCCCCAGCAGTTGTTTTAAGGAATTGCCAGACATGGATCCAGTCAGAAGTGAAAAAAATATGGCCAGAGAAATGTCTTTTTTTTTTTTTTGGTCCAGTCATGGGCCTGAACTCTGGGCCTCGGCGCTATCCCTTAGCTCTTCAGCTTAAAGCTAGTGCTCTACCACTTGAGCCACAGCGCCACTTCCGGCTTTTTTCTTTTTGCTTATGTGGTGCTGAGGAATCGAACCCAGGGCCTCATGCATGCAAGGCAAGCGCTCTACCACTGAGCCACCTTCCCAGCCCGAGAAATGTTGAGAGAGGGAGAGGGAGAGGGAGAGGGAGAGGGGAGAGAGAGAGAGGAGAGAGAGAGAGTTGGCATTAGGGCTTGAACTCAGGATCTGGATGCTGTCCCTTAGCTTTTTCACTCAAAGCTGGAACTCTACTACTCGAGCCACGCCTCCACTTCTGGCTTTTGTTGTTTGTTGTTGTTAATTGGAGATGAGAGTCTCACAGATTTTTCTTCCCCATGCTGGCTTCAAACTGTGATCCTCAGACTCTGCCTCCTGAGTTGCTAGGATAACAGGCGTGAGCCAGTGGCTCCTGGCTTAGTCTTTCTTAGCCATTTCAAGTTCCTTATTATCCACTTCTTCTGGTCACTGATGGCAGAAGACAGGGCAGCACTGCTGGGTATGTCGAATCCAAATAATGAACACTGGTGGAATGAAGCTCTGGTGGAGCTGTGTGCAGACATAGAGCCTTCTGTGCAGATAAGGAAATGGATTCTGAGATCCGTGGTGTCCAAGCCCCTTAGTGACCCATAAGGTTTCTTCTGTGCCATTTCACAGATAGTGCCAGCTACCTGGATGCACTTTGACAGTCTCTGTCTTCTGGTACAGAGACATAGGGTACCGTATACTGTGCACAGTTCAGATCTCCACAGGATGCTACTGAGTTGTGGAACAAAGGAGAGGGAACCCAAGAGAAAGGATGGGGGTCAGGAACCAGGCAGAAAATGCTGTGACAAATCATAGCTTGTCGTTATGGATGATGTAGACCCATGCCATGTCTGCTACATAGAAATCTTTTTTTTTGGGGGGGGGGGGGTGGTCCAGTCATGGGGCCTGAACTCTGGGCCTGGGCGCTGTCCCTCAGCTCTTCAGCTCAAGGCTAGCGCTCTACCACTTGAGCCACAGCACCACTTCCCGCTTTTTTCTCTTTGCTTATATGGTGCTGAGGAATCGAACCCAGGGCCTCAGGCATGCAAGGCAAGCGCTTTACCACTGAGCCACCTTCCCAGCCCTACACAGAAATCTTGACACTTCAGACTCCCTGCTTTATTCTGCCCTGATGGAACTGCTTTTTAAAAGTTTATTCATCTTTGGGTGAGTAAATTCGGAGCAGCATCTCTTCCTGCCTGCTGTAAAGCCATCTATACATCCACACTCAGTTCAATCTCAGTTTAAACTCTGGATCACCACATATTCCCCCACTCCTCTTCCTCCACCCTACATCCTTAAGCCAGGTCCTTAAAGAAAGAACCTTCTGCTGGGCACTGGTGGCTTACACCTGTAATCCTAGCTACCCAGGAGGCTGAGATCTGAGGATCATGGTTCAAGCCCCACGACCTACAAAGAGTGAGCCCTCTTATATGATCCTGCCTCCTGTGCAGCTGGGATTCTAGGCATGTGTCACTATGCCTAGCTAATTTGTTGAGAGAGCATCTCACTTCTTGTTCAGGCTGACCTGGAACTTGATCTCTGCTTCCTAAGTATCTTGAGATTAAGGCAGTAGCCACTGTTCTTAGCCCAGCACACTATTCTGTCAGTCTTAATCTGGCAGTTAGATGCTATAGGAAAAGAAAAGAACTCAGAGTGTAGACAGACTCCAGGTTAGAGCTGCAGCCCTCCTTGCTTGCTCTCTTGGCTGATCCGGGCCTCTTTCTCTTTCAGGACTCTTCTCAGGGGAGCTCCCAGAATGCACTCAGGAGCTGATGATTGACGTCACCAAGAGCTACTACCAGAAGTTTTTGCCACTGACGCAAGTCTAGTGTCTGCCTCTTGTGTTGAATTTGCGTGAGCACTAAGATAAACTTGGGGAACAAAGTGACCAGTCAATGTCTGTAGGAGCAATTACGTCCTTGCCATCTTCCATCTACCTTTTTTTTTTTTTAAGTTAGATTTTTCCAATCGTACAAGGCTCTAAGTGCTGAAGAATTTACTGAGAGCTTCTGGAGGCGCCGTTGTCACGTCGTACACATACCTGACCTATCAGTGGCCACTGTGTACCACTATCTGGAACTCGGAATCAGCTGTTCCCAGCCCCACAGCCTGCACATGCAGGATGCTGATGCTGGCTGACGGGGGCCTCCAGAGCTGCATGTCCTACCCTCCGTGCCCTGAACCCTAAGCCCATCACATCCCACTGCGAGCAGCTTCCCTGCTGCTCCCATTTGGCAGTAGCCGTAATTGTAGTTCCTAATCCCGAGGAAAAGTGTTTGTAGTTTCAAGGTCCATACTGCTATTACAAGTCAAAAGGGCAGGATGGTTGGTGCTGCTCTTCTTTCCCAAGGGACTTCAGCTGGCAATGTGGTTAATAAAAAAACGTTTGTTGTAGCATCCTGCTCTAAGGCCTTTGGCTTTCACTAGAATAGGGGAACCTCTGTACCCCTCTGTACCTCTGCCAAGTCCCAAGTTCTAGTCTCCCATGTGAATCGAATCACAGAGTCCCTCCCTCCCTCACGGAATTTGTTTTACAAAATCAAAGACAAGGCCAGGTGCTGTGGCTCCTAGCTACTCGGAAGACTGATATCTGAAAGACTCATCTCCAGTGAACAAGCAGAATTCAGAAGTGGAAGTGTGACTCAAGTGGTAGAGCCCTAACCCTGAGCGAAAAAGCCAAGGAGAGCAAGCAGCCCTGACACTAACCACATAAATAAATAAATAAGACAAAAGCCTTTGTGACCACATGTCATCTGTCCTAGCATTACTCCACCTGCCTACCCCATCTTTGCACCCAGCCCTCCACAATTCAGAGAAGAATGTTTGTACTGGATCCCTGTTACATTTATGCACAAAGGGCCCTTAAAATTGTCTCCTGGAACATGGCTATTCATACTATCTCTGCCATGTGATGACACCAGGCCCTGAGTCTGCCCTGACTGCTGGGTTAAGCTGGGAGAGGCTGAGAAGTATGGCCAGCTCAGCGCTCCTCCTGCTGTAAACCAACAGGGCAGAGCCACCAGTCTTGAAGGTCAGAAATCCAGCAGCTGAGTGGTGCTGTGGCTCAAGTGGTAGAGTGCCGGCCTTGAGCAAAAAGAAGCTGAGATGCAGTGCCCAGGCCCTGAGTTCAAGCTCCAGGACTAGCAAAAAAAAAATCCAACAGCTGCCATTTCTCGGGCATTCCCAGCCACCAAGTGCTGTGCTGCACCTTTCTTTAATGCTTGGGGCTGGCTTCTTCCAGCAACTTAGAGTGGCATTTTCCTCATTTGCCTCCCTACATGCTCTTTAGAGGGCAGAATGCACCTGCCCTGCAGTACTTCTGCTTGGGGTCCAGTCTGATAACCAGAAGTCTGAGATGGTTGCACATTTTTTTCTGGTCTCATCCTGGCATCTCCTACCAGGTCTGTTGTCCCTTTGTGCCACCTAAAAAAGGTATCTTGGCAGAGTTAAGATAGAATGACTATAGAAATCTTCCAGAACATATCTTAAGAGATTGCTCTCCAGTTTGTGATACAAAACATAAGCTTGCCACATTTTGTACCTATCCATGTTACTGGTAAACAACTGAAATTTAAAAGATAGCATATGGTCTGGGAATGTGGCTAGTGGCAGAGTGCTTGCCTAGCATGCATGAAGCATGAGTTTGATTCATCAGCACCGCATACACAGAAAAAGCCAGAAGTGGCGCTGTAGCCCAAGTGGTAGAGTGCTTACCTTGAGCAAAAGAAGCTCACAGACAGTGTTCAGGCTGGAGTTCAAGCCCCAGGACTGGCAAAAAGAAAAATAAGATAACATTTATTTTTTAGGCTTTTTTTTTTTTTTTTTTGCCAGTCCTGGGGCTTGAACTCAGAGGCCTGGGCACTGTCCCTGAGCTTTTGCTCAAGTCCAGCACTCTATCACTTGAGCCACAGTGCTACTTCTGGCTTTTCCTGTGTATGTGATACTGAGGAATTGAACCCAGGGTTTCATGCATGCAAGGCAAGCACTCCACCACAAAGCTACACTCCCAGCCCTCTTTTAGGCTTTTAAAATCAATAATGCTGCTTCACACCTGTAATCCTAGCTTCTCTGGAGGCTGAATCTGAGGATCAAGGTTTGAAGCCAACCCAGATTGAAAAGTCCCCCCAAGACATCTCTAATTAACCGCCCAAAAACGAAGTGGCTCTGTGGCTCAAATGGTGTAGTGCTAACCTTGAGCACAAAGAGGCTCAGGGACATCACCCAGGCCCTGAATTCAGGCCCCACAACTGGCAAAAAAAAAAAAAAAATGCTAAAGAAACAAGGCCCTGAGTTCAAGACCCAGGACCAACATAAAATCCTTTAAAGCTGGCACCAGTGACTCACACCTGTAATCCTGCTACTCAGGAGGTTGAGATCTGAGGGCCTGGACAGGAAAGTCCTTAAGACTCTTTAAACACCAAAAAGGCCAAAGTGGAGCTGTGGCTCAAGTGATAGAGCATCAGCTTTGAGCCAAAGCAGGCCCTGAGTTTCAGTTTTAGATGGTTATTATCCCCAAGGCACGAGGGCAGGTAAATTATAAAATCTGTACAGCTGAAGTGAGTGAATCTGGACATTCTGGCTCTAGAACCCATGCTGTTAACAGTCTTCTAGAATCTTCCATGTTGTAATACCTGTCATTGCCCCAAATTGCCAATCTGACCAGCCCTGACTGCAGAGGAAGCTGAAGAAGTGAGTGTTTTGCTTTGTCAGGCATTCAAGGAAAAGGGTTGAGAGCAGATATTGGGTGAACGGTCTAGCAATGTCTGTTCTAGGTAGGAATGCCAGTGTCCTCTCTGAGACGTGTTCTTGTCGTGTGCCCTGTTGTCCTGTGGCTGCAGCTGTGGTCTGAGAAGGGAGACTGTACTGTCTGCAGGTGCTTTCTGCTGATGTCTTAAGTTTTGTGTAGAAAACTGTAGGCTAGATGAAAATTCAGTGAGAATGGTTTGTGGCAAGTGATAGAAATCCACCTGAATGAATGTAAGCAAAAAAAAAAAAAAAAAAAACTGTGAACCTGTAATCTTAGCTTTTAAAGAGGCAACGGTAGAGGATCAGAAGTCCGAGGCCCACCTGGCGAAGACCACATCTCAAAAAGATATAGTCACTAATGGGCTAGAGGCATTTCATCTGTCTAGCAAACACAAGGCTCTGAACTGAAATTACAGCATTAATACACACACACACACACACACACACACACACACACACATGAGTCGCAGCTGGCTCATGTCTATAATTCTAGCTATCTAGGAAGCAGAGATCTGGAGGATCATGGTTTGAAGCCAGCCAGGACAGAAAAATACCCATGAGACTCCTTCGCCAATTAATGGACAAAATACTAAGCTGGAGGCATGGCTCAAGTGGTCATAGTGCTTGCTGAGCAAGTAAGCCAAACACACACAAAAATTCCTAAGTTTAAGTCCTGATACTGGTAATAAATAAACCAACCAACAATAAATAACAACCTAAGAAGACTATTGATGCTTAGAAATCACTCTGTACTAAGTGTGTGTGTGTGCCAGTACTGAGGCTTGAACTTAGGGCCTGGACACTGCCTTGATGTCTTTATCACTTGAGCCACAGTTCTTTTTTTTTTTTTTTTTTTTTGTACATCATGGGGCTTGAACTCTGGGCCTGGGCGCTGTCCCTTCAGCTCAAGGCTGGCACTCTATCACTTGAGCCACAGCGCCACTTCCAACTTTTTCTGTGTATGGGGTGCTGAGGAATCGAACCCAAGGCTTCATGCATGCTAAGCAAGCACTCTACCACTAAGCCACATTCCCAGCCCGAGCCACAGTTCTACTTCGAACTTTTTGATAGTCATTGGTGATGAGTCTCCTGCTGCTTAGGATTCTTGCTGCTTGTGTCTTGCTGCTCAGGCTAGCTTTGAACCAAGATCCTCAGATCTGAGCCTCCTATAGAGCCAGGATTACAGGTTTGAGCTGCTTGTATTTGGCTTTGTTATAACTTGTTATTGCAAGAAACTGAACCCTACCAGGGCTGCTTTGTATTTTTACTTTTTGTTCACTATACATTAGTCAAGGACAGATTTGGGCTACTGTCACAGAGCTCCCCCAAATCTAGGAGCTCAGCAAGACAGAAATTCACATCTCTCTCGCCTAGCTGTGCAGATAGGCAGGTGGGTCAGGAAACTGACAAGGGTCCCTTCCTAGTGTCCTCACATGAACATAATTAGCTATGAGAATGGCTCTAAATTACTCTGGTTGGGATGCTGGACTCTGAGGAGGGATGGTCTGTTCATAGAAAGGACAGGGGACATTGAAAGGCCTTTTTTCCTTCCTCTCTGTACCTGGGGACATAGCTCCATGCTCATGTTTCACTCTTAAAGAAAGGTGTTTTTTTTTTCCCACCTTCTACTTTTTTTTGTGCCTGTCCTGGGTTTTTAACTCAGGGCTTGGGTATTGTCCCTGAGTTGTTATTCTCTCTCTCTCTCTCTCTCTCTCTCTCTCTCTCTCTCTCTCTCTCTCCAGCTCTCCAGGCTAACACTCTACAACGTAAGCCGTAACTCTGCTTCCAGTTTTTTGTTTATTTTTGCTAATCTTGGGGTTTGAACTCAGGGCCTGGGTACTGTCCCTGATTGTTATTGTTGTTGTTGTTTGTCAGTCCTGGGGCTTGAACTCTGGGCCTGGGAGCTGTCCCTCAGCTCTTCAGCTCAAGGCTAGTGCTCTACTACTTGAGCCACAGCACCACATCTGGTTTCCTGAGTGGTTTATTGGAGATAAGAGTCTCACAGACTTTCCTGCTCGGACTGGCTTTGAACAGCGATCCTCAGATCTCAGCCTCCTGGGTAGCTAGGATAACAGGTGTGAGCCACCGGCACCCGGCTATCCCTGAGCTTCTTTTGCTCAAGGCTAGCACTCTACCACTTATGCCACAGCTCCATTTCTGGCTTTTTCTGAGTAGTTTATTAGAAATAAGAGTCTCATGGACTTTCCTGCCTGGGCTGTCTTTGAACTGCAGTCTTCAGATCTTAGCTTCCTAAGTAGGTAGAATGACAGACAAGAGCCACTAGTGCCCAGGTACACTTCTAGCTCTTTTTGGTGCTTAATTGGAGAGAAAAGCCTCTTGGAGTTTCTTGCCTGCGATGGCTTTAAACTTCGTTACTTGTATCTCAGCCTCCTGCCTAACAGGATTACAGGTGTGAGCCACCTGTACAAATACAAGCATAAGCACTGTTTTTTTTGGTCAGTCCTGAGGCTTGAACTCAGGGCCTAGGTGCTGTCCCTGAGCTCTTTTGCTCAAGGCTAGTGTTCTACCATTTTGAGCCACAGCTCCACTTCTGGCTTTCTGGTGGTTCATTGGAGATAAGAGTCTCACATACTTTCCTGCCCAGGCTGGCTTTGAACCAGGATCCTCAAATAGCCAGGATATAGGCATGA